CAAGTCAGCTGACCTGACCTAGGTCAGGTCATTTTCCAAGGATGAGAATAGGCTCCCTTCTAACGCACGTCTTGTTTCTTGTACCGGAAAACAAACCAGGGCTCTCAGTACTTCGACTGCTGAGTTGTCTTCCTTGCCTCTGCGTGAGAAAGGAAGCAAGACAAGAGCAACCTCTGTAATTTCTTGGATCATGGACCTCACGTTTTATTTCAATTGTCAATAAATTTACAATAAATCCGGAGAAAGAACCGGCCAACGCTTATTCAGGTCGTTTTTGAAGACTGTGGTAATTTCAATTGACGCAGAAGGAAGTTTGTTCCAATTATTAACAACACGAGTTGCGAAGACCTTGGCCCTAATCTCCAGCCTGGACCTCTGATGCTTAGTCTTAGATTCATGGCCCCGTAGATGGTCGGATGTAGCAAGTTCAATCAGATCGGAGGGCTTGATCCCGCTGAGGCTTTTCGTAATCTCAAACCTTTCTATCTGGTCACCTCGTACTCTGCGCCGCTCTGTATAGAACAGTCCTAGGCCCTTTAGGCTCTCTTGGTGATTTCACGAGCTAGGCCTCGATCATTCTATTCGCCAGTATTTGGACCTTTTCTATGCAGGTCACATCCTTCCTGAGACACGGCGCCCATGCCTGCACACAGTACTCTAGGTGAGATCGTACAACCGCCTTACATAATGGGAGAACAACCTTTAGCTTGGTGTTGCATAACGTTCTCTTGAGGTGGAATAATTCCTTATGCACCTTTTGTCGGCATGCTGACACTGTACTGAAGTTTTGCAGGAATTCGTCATAGTAATACCCAAACCTCGAGCCTCCTCAACTGACCGCAATCTCAGCGTACCGGCAGTATTTTTGCACTGTAACCCCGTCGTTGTTGGCATTTATTGGCATCAAGAGGCAAATCCCATGAGGAAGATCATCTTCTTACCGTGTAGTCCGAAGACAAACTTTGATGCTGGTCTCTGGACCCTTTCTGTTAGAGTACCTTCTAGTTTTGAAAGTAGGAACGTAGTCGGTAGACCCTACTCAAGTGTAGATCGTACGTGAGAAGTGAATAGTAGCCTGGAGATCTTTCGTGTCATCCGAGAGAATGATCTTATGGCCTCCCACATCCTGTTAACGGCGACCACTCTCCTTAGTATGTCGTGGGTGGTTTTAGTTCAGTTAATTAATACATCTAGGTCTTTCTCTCAGGCAGCCTTGTAGAGGAGGAAACCCCCAATACGGTCGGTGCCAAGTGGATCAGACGCACCAATCGGGAGGACAACGTTTGACAAAGTTGATAGGTAAACCACACTTGGTGGACCAGTTGTGCAGTGGATCCAACTTGGCCTGGACTTTATCAACTGGATCGACGTCCGAGACCGACCAAAGCTTGAGGTCATCAGAATAGATCAGCATTCGGTTTGAAGCGTTTCGGAAAAGTAGCTGAACGGCTCGAAAAGTCCGGGTCCGAGGACAGATCTTTTCGGGACCTCGCTGGTCACTATCACTGACTGTGAAAGGGTTTCATTCACTCGCACCTACATGATTCTGTCTCCCAAGAAGTCGGCGATCCACGAGTATAGGCGTCCATTGACCCCAGCCTCCCAGAGCTTGCACAGCAATCGTTGATGTGGGACCTTATCAAACGCCTTGCTGAAGTCAATGAAGACAACATCTAGGCATTTGCCAGAATCTATTGATCTTGCTCATATTCCCCTTGTCACCAGTAGGTTGGTAGGGCAGGAGCGTCCATCCTGAAAGCCATGCTATGTAGTAGAAGTGATGTTCAGGGCTTCTATAGAGCGCATTTGGTAATCTCCATGATCTTGGAAAGTATAGATCTCAGACAGATTGGGCGATAATTCGTGGGGTCAAGTAGATTTCCACCTTTGTGCTTTGGCATCACTATTCCCAGTTTCCAGTCGGCGGGCAGCCGCCTAGCTTCTAAAGAGAGCTGAAAAATCTGGCAGGTGTCGCAATGTACTCTGTTACTGCCTTAGGAAAGAGGGGATGCCTCCCGTCAGGGCCAAATGACGAGTTAGCATCTAATTCGAGCAACATTTTCGCAATATTTTTCTTGTTGAATTCGATGTCCTCAAGACGGTTGAGATCCAAAGTATCTAGATTGTTGAGCGGTGAGTTCTCCATTGCGTAAACGGATGAGTAATGCCGACTCAGGAGATCCGCTTTCTCCTAGTCTTCGTATAGAACGAAATCTGTTGTATTGAATAACCAAGCTGTTGTGCTGCAGCCGACTTTGATCCTTTTGTTCATATAAGCTTAGAGATTTTAGGTCTAGACACAGACTGTTCTGCCATTCTGCACATATTGTTGCCTATCCTCCCGCTTTTTCGTAGTACCTAAGTTCTTGAGCTTCTGGTAGCTTGAATAGTCCGAGATCACTTTAGTAGATTTGAAACGGGCCCATAGTTGCTTTCGCTGATTCATTTGCAACAATATTTCCTGAGCAATCCAAGGTGGACCTCTCGTATGGGACCTTTATCTTGAGTTTGGGACCACTTGTGCAGTGATCTGGTTAATTTTGGAGCACAGAGTGTCCAAGCACTATCCAGGTCAAGATTTTGTGGGCTATTCCAGTCCAACACGCTAATCGCCTTTCGTAAGCAGGTAGGATTGCTACGCCAGAATTTTCGGTGGCAAACCCTTCGGTCTTGACTGACAAATCGCCGCGCCCACGTAAAGAGGAGAGTACAGTGATCACTATGACCAATCGGGAGAAGGATAACCAATCTAGATGTCAGATGGTACAGGTGACAGCACCCAATCAAAATGTGGGATGTCTAGTCTTGGAGTATTCTGGTAGGCGTGAAGACGTGTTGATAGGTTGGGATCAAGGTCTGTTCCAAGTAGACCAGCATCAAATGACTCTGCAGAGAGTCCTCAGTTGAGTAAATTCCAGTCAATACCAGGTACATTGAAGTCACCCAATATTAGGCAGTTCCTGCCACACCCATGGCTTCTGAGTACATCTAAATTTCGGTTGCCGTTACCCAGTGGGGTTTCGTACACCACACCGACGGTAAGGGGGTTTACATCTGTCGTGGATCCGATACTAGAGCATTTCTATACCGTCGTCACTGATAGTCTCAGTGGTGTGTGCCTTGAGTGCAAATCACCAGCACACTATTACACCGCCCCCGGTCTTCGCCCCATTGCGATCCGCCCGTGAGAGCTGATATCCTTGGATATGTATCTCTCCATCCGGCGTATCTGAAGTTAACCGTCTCTGTAAAGAAAAGCAGGTCTTCGCATAGCTCCGAAGTGGTGCAGAGAATTCCGTCCAATTTGTTTCCGATGCTCCGGACGTTGGCAGACATCACACGCCGTCCAAGTGGTGTTCAGATCTTACGACCCGAGCAGGACTAGGATTGACTTCCAACGAGCTTTCTGGGTTCTCTGCACAACGCGAAAATCCACTATGTGTAGATTAGTTTCACCGTTAGCTCTTCGGGTTCTGAATTCATTAGCGGCAATTTTCATTTTGACAATGTCCTCTGGACAAAGACCTCTCAGGACAAAGAAAGTTTGTCTCCTGAGGCGTGAGATCCTCTTAAGAATGCTGCAACATTCAGCTTCATCTTGGCACTATTTTAAGTGGGCGGCTTTTATAGATGTCGTCCTGCTTTCCACCGCGTTAGAAAGGCGGAGATAATGTTGATCCCAGCTTTTTCATCATTGAAAAGTAGAGAGACCACACGCTCTAAGGAAGCTTTATCATCTAGTATTCTCTTTGCTGGTGTTGGCTTGTTTGGTTCCGGAGCGTTGACGATAATCAGACATCGTTTAAAATCAGGGTGACTGCTTCTCTCGGGAACAGCTATCTTTGGGATATGCGTGTTTGTCAAGATCAGGTTCTCCAGCTCGCGCATTCTGTCCAGGATGTGTTTCAACTGGGGGCGTGAAGAGTCCTTCTGGATCTTAGACTCTTTAAGCCCCTACGTTTTACTCTTGCGGGCGGCTGTGCTTGAGGTGGCAGTCACTGATGTCGCACTCTGTTGTACTACGGAGGCATATGTCTTTTTCGTTATTTGAGCACTTAGTTCCCGCCCAGGAACCAGCTGCCCCGAAGATGACGAGGAAGGATCTGGACTCCGATTAGCATTCGGGGTTGTTGGGCCCGACATAACAGGTGTCGGGGGTGCAATTGGTATAGTTATTGATGTGTGAACTGCAAGTAGAACAGAACTGGGAGGAATAAGACAAATATTTTGGTCCTTATCCTTCCCAACGGCTTAACAACGGTCGCAGGTGAAGCAAATAGCCGAGGAGGAATTTTGTGTAATGTGTTCATGAAGTTTAGCTTCGATACCGCAACAGGAGATATGCAGCCAACCATTGAAGCTCTTGCATTAGACGGCTTTAAAGCGAATGGTGACTCCTTTATAGCAATCCAAACACTTTGAGGTCATTTCTGCAAGTTGATCTAAGAAGGAAAATATGCTCGGACAAAACGCACAGGAATTTGCTATCCGTTGTGCAATCAAACGCTCCCAATTGCAAATTGAGCTTGTTGTCCAAGAAACAACATTTGAATGCATGTATATGCGTTTTTTTATCTCCACCATGCAGTGTCAAGTAACTAGTTGGAAATTAACGCATATGTAAGTGAATCCTTAAAGCGGCTTCGCGCTACCGCATTCACTGATTCGAACCACTGTTGGTCATAGCATATTCAACACTGGAAGCACTTCTATTTTATTTTGCTCTTATACATTATCACTTCAACTACTTTCGGACTGTAGCCTGTTACGTTTTTTTCCTTTTGCTTTGCTGGCGATACCAACGATGATACTTAAGTCCATTTTGGTCAGTTGCACGCATCATTTCAAGCTAAGAAATGACGATTACGTTGAAATATCCCATTCTTTTCTTTCAACTTCAACCTGGTTTCAATTTCCGTACCTTAAATAGTTATCTTTGATGCAATTCAATTCGTTGCATTCAGAGTCAGTTTTCACTCCCTACGTTTCTCGCCTCCTCGCTTTAGCTTTATCCATATAATACTAATTATGTTGGCAGTGGAACAGAAGGACTGGATGTTTGGCGCGATCAATTGCGATGAACGGAAACTGACTCACATGTTGAATGAGAACCCCAATTTGGCCACCTGGCAGGTGAGCACGCGCTCGTTTGTGCTCTTGAGCTAGCTTCATATGCTGATGACACAAACCTGTCTAATGAATTTTAACCGGTATTTTGCTGAGAGAGATTCCGAATGCCGTTGCAACTCAACCGCCTTTGATTTCAAGCTAGGTCACTGTGAGGAAACGTGATTGAAAGAGGCTAGAAATATAGTCCATCCTCTGACGCGTCGGTTTCAACATCTGAGTTAATGCTTTCGGAAGAAATCCATTTTACAGAGGAGTAGTAGGGGGAGTTGAATGGTATAGGTAGACATTCCTCACAGCTAGACTCACTCCAACAGCCACCTCACTCTAGGAAGACTATTGTACGCGCGTTTCATCCTTTCGGGAGTCGTCAGCAGTGCGCATTCCATCGGACCCTTGGTAGGGCTCGAACTCGCAACTCGACTGTTTCCAGTTCGTGGTTGAGACCACTGAGCTACGGGCGACGGCAAGGATCATCGTAAATAAGTTACCAGGTGTGCTATAGCGCCGCTCACTATCCACTGATTTGGACGTTACTGCCTTGCAGAGGACAGGGTAGCCCCCTCACCAAACGACGAACTTGCCCAACTTAAGCCGCCAATTAACTTATGAAATTATAATCAGTTTGGTCTGCGTACTGATCACAGAGGAGTAGTAAGGGGAGTTGAATGGTATAGGTAGAAATTCCCTGATTCCGGAACTCTTCCTACTCAGGTGATGCAAACTGAGCCATGAACAGTTAGTTTAGTGTATCCATCGATGGCAGAGGTCCGCAACGCGATCACAGCCCTCAATCGTTTTCGTGCTGCTGACGCGGGTTTCTTCGCGCCTTCACTATATAAGGATGTTAGTGACTCCTCTGCAATGATTTGACCTCGTTGTTCGAACATGTCTGGAAGAAATAGGCCATTCGCGCTAATTGGAGTGAATCGATTATAGTGGTAATATACTAGTAGGCCAGTTGCAGCGACTGTGCTAACCACAGAGATATTAACCTAACACCGGTGGTGACAATATTATCGGCCTCAATTCTCGTTCGTCGCCTCACTGCCAAACGGGAATCCCGGTTTATGAAGTAGCAGACGGCGCTGTGTAGACCATATATTTACTCTGGGGCAGGTGCGAGAGCAACGCCACGCATACCGCAGATGGACGATAGCTGTGTCCCAAAACTTCAAATGTGCCTTTGATTCAGTCCATCGATGCATTTTGCTCGAGATACTTGTGCGGAAATGATTTCCCAATAAATATTTGTATATTTTGCGTGTCTTATTTTCGAACACCACAGGCTTCAAAATGTACAAAGGTGACTTATCGGATATTTTCCCTACAACAAATGGCGTTCGTCAGGATTGCCTAATTTCCACATTTTTGTTCACTTTCGTCGTGGACTCCATCATACAGCATTCCCTTGCGGAGCCTCACAATGCAAACGTTAAGGTGCTGTCTGCAGAAAGGCTAGTTTATCTTGATTATGCGGACAATATTGTATTGCTGTTTAACAATGTTGTGGCGAACCAATCAATCCTGAATAACTTTTCTCGCATGGTGGTGGTAGTAGTAGTTGTAGCCGAACCTTATTATGAAAATCACTGAAAGAAGCGGTTGAATGCCGTATCAGCGTCATGGCACATTAACTGAAGGTAAGCAACACACTTCAGCAGTTGTGCCGCAATATAAAATACTACGGTTTTTGTTGTTTTGCACCCTCAGTTTTTAAATTTTTTGTCGTTTTTAATCGTTAAGCATTAAGCATCCAAATCTAAACCGTTGTATACACAGACCTTCCACTGCTTTCGATTACGAGCCTTATTCTGAATTGTTTCTAGCCATCGGCACTCATCGTCCTTTGGTCCCCAACCAGGCAGACGTGAGAATCCAATGTTGGCATGAGATGAAGTCAACGATTTCATTTGCTATCGCTAGGTCGATGGTGGACCATCACGTGGTCTCTTCCAGTTGAGTCCTGCACGAGCAGACAGAGCGATAGAGCAAACCCTCAGCTGACATACGCAGGACGTGACCGAGCCATCTTAACTGGTGCAGCGAAACCAGCTTGTTGAGGGAATACTCGCATTCCCTAAGACACGACGTCTGACTTCACTGTTGCAAATGTGTTGTTGCCACCGCAGGCGAGCAATCCTTCTCAAGCACCCGTTGTCGAAGGCAGAGAGCCGGCGCATATCGTCTACACGAACTGGCCATGACTCGCTTCTGAACGGTGGCATTGTAAACACGATCCCTTGCCAAGAGGGAGATATCTCGGTGACGTCACAAGGGCTGCAGGTTGCTAAACATCGACCGAGCTTTGGCGATGCGAAGAGAAACTCCCCTTCTAATAGTATCGCCAGCAGACACAGCTGCCAAGGTAGACAAAGCTATCCACTTGTTCAAGCTGTGTACCTTAACTATTGAGCACGGGAACAGTTGATTACCAATCCCGAGGCAGCACTTTACACTTTGATGGGGCAAAGCACATTCCCTACCTAGAGGCCTCGATCGCCAAGCGGTCTAGAATGGTTTGCATGCCCTGTGAGTCCTCACCAAGTAAGGCGATACTATCGACATAATTTAAGTCGGTTGCTCGCTTGCCCGGTAATAGCTGTATACCAAAATTTTAGCAACCGTCTGGAGCTGACAGGATGTCTTCAATAGCAAAATTGAAGAGGAACGAGGAGATAGGTCAGCCTTGTCGTACACCGCTATTGACAGCCAAGGATGACGAAAGAGATATGGAAATACAGCACGCAGGATAGAAGTGTATGTTTCTGGGACTGTTCCTTAGCAAACAACGCTATAGTGCAGGTCGATCAGCCGAGTCGAATGCTGCACGGATGTCCAGGAAGGCAAAGATGGTAGGTCTCTGTAAAGGTGGCGGTGTTCCAGGATTTGACGGAATGTGAATATCTGATCCACACACCCGCGGCCCGTTCGGACGCCAGCTTATTCTTCCTGGTACTGCGATTCGCGAATGGGAGATAGCCTACGGAGTAGAATAGATGTCAATAGCTCGGATGCAACCGAAATGAGACTGCTCCACCAGTGATTAATGCACGAAGTGCGAGCACCCTTCTTAAAAACCGGGGCAATAACTGACTCGCCCCAGGAAGAAGACACCTTTTCTTCATGCCAGATTTGGGAGAACAATGAGGTTAGCTGGCTAATGATAACAGGGCCTCCATATTTGAACAGCCCTGGAGGAAGTCCGTCTGAGCCGGCAGCCTTGAATCGTCTTAGGTGTCGAATCGCAAAACAAACTTCCGCTTCGCTGGGTGGATCATGTGTGACGACCTAGGGCGGGCAGTCGAGTTCGCAGGGGATATAAATGGACGGTAAGGGCCAATTGAACTGGGAATGAAAATGTTCGGCCCATCGGTCCGAGTGTCTCTGTAAGTTGGCAATCGACGAACCAATCGCTTCGCATCTAGTCTCACTGACACCTGGCTTTCTGTGTCCAATAGATCGAATGCGTTGTATGGGCTTGCGAGTATTGACAGAGAGCGCAGTGGCCTACATTTCCAAAGCACGCTGGAACCACCAGACTTCACGGTCACTGCGTAGGCTTTGTTTCAGCTGCCGACTGACAGAACGGCGCACTTCATCATTATTAGACTCTGCTAGAATATTCCTGCGGCAGTCAAATAGATCCAAAGAACACATGGTGATCCAGCTTTCATAGGGTGCTGAGTAAGACCACAGACTTGCTGTCCGGAAGACATCATGGTCCTCTTCATGCACGTCCACTGTTCATCGATATCTTGCGGTGGGTTGCAGCCGAGTGCACCAGCCCGGGAAGCTTGATAGCTCTGCTGAACCGAAACTGTAGACTGTTTATTTGTGTCTATCGTACAGCGCTTCATTTTCGGGGTCCCTTCGAAATTCATGCAGATGTTCGCACAGACAAGAGCATGGTCTGAATCAAGAAAAGTGGACCAGATGAATCTGCAATCCTTTACATTACCTCTCTATCTGAAACTGTGATATGATCAAACTGAGACCATGATTGAGACACAGAAGGGGGTCGCCAAGTAGCGGAACGACTCCTCGAATGCGGAAAGTTGGTACCCGGGAGAAAAAGTTGCTTATCTTCGCAGTGTGAGAAGTCTCTCCATTATCTGAGCAGCTTTCATCGAGCGCATGGTGACCACCAAGGTGACTTTCCCATGCCAGCGGACGACCGACCCTAGCGTTGAGATCCCCAGCAAGAACAACAGTGCCGCACTTGCAGCTTCTGCTCAAGAGCTGTTGAAGTTCACGGTAGAAATCGTCCTTGACGGAGTCGGAACTGCAGTCATTTGGAGCGTAAGCTAAGATCACAAACAAGTTGCGTCTCTCCTCACGACATCGGTTTATCTTGCATGATCCCCGAAGCCAAACTGCACACAGTCGGCTATTAATCGGGAACCAGTCCAGCAGTGTTGTTCCGGCTTTGCTACTTAGTACTACACCAACCCTAGCCAAGCCTGTCACAGCTGCTTCTGCGTCACCAGCTAGACATAGGTGAAATGTGGCTCCTTCCAGAGCGCGGTGGGGAACATCATCGATGGCCGTTTAATAAGAATGCTGAGATCGGGCAACCTTGGCGTACACCGCTGGTTACAGTAAAAGTTAAAGAAAGCTTTCCATAAACTTTAACTGCCCGATGTGTGACGATAGAGTTCTTTCAGTATTGTGAAAACTTTGTCGGGGACACCGCTTCTTAGCAGGCAGTACTAAAGAGATGTTCTATCTATGGATGTCCAGAAACCCCGCCATTGTTGATCTTCAGTGGATGTGACTATGTTCGAATATCTAACACAGCGTGAAAATCTGATCGATGTAACCTCGACCGCTGCGAAAACCAGCTTGTTCCTCGCGAGATAAACTCTCTCGAGTAGCTGAAAGTGCAGAACGATATTGACACAGCAACTTTGGAAGTGATCGGAATTAGTGATATTCCTCGGCACTTGGTGCAATCGTTGCGAGACCCTTTCTTGTTAATCGGGACCACGATAGATTCGCCCCAAGGGTTGGTAATCTTCTCATCGACCCACACTCGTGAATAGCGAGAGCAGTTTGCTAATAAATATATTTTCTCCATCTTTGAGTAATGCCGGAGGAAGGATGTCAGGGCCTGTGGCTTTGTATCGTCTCAGAGTCTGGATTTCTCTCCGAATCTTAGCCTCAGTGGGAGGATCTGTGCACACGGGCCATGCACCACAAGATAGCAAAGGGGATGCCACTGATGGTTGAATCGGATAATTGAATTGAAGAGCGAAGTGCTGTGCCCAACAATCCAGACGTTTGCGTAGATTAGTGATCCACTTACCGTCTGATGCGCAGATTGTCTCACTGGTGGCATGTGCTTTGCATCCGGTAGATTTGATGATTTAAACTAATTTACGGATGTTTCCAGCAGCGGCCGCATCTTCCATTTCCTTGGCTGGATTGGACCATCAGGATTCACGATCGCGGTTAAGACTTGCTTTTAATTATTGGGAAATGGTTCGTCGTAGTTCAGTGTGCCCCACACTGACGCGACTGGATCGCCGACAATCAAGTAATTCCGACGATGTCGATGCGATCCAACTTGTAGCTGTTGAACCAGCGAGACCACAGGTAGACAGACCTGCGGAAAATATGACTTGTTGTAAACGCAGACAATGTTGATCAACTTCCGGAGGTGAAGGAAAAGTGAGATTGTCACGGAGCATCCGTTGATATTCCACTTGAGCAGCGGGGTCTTCCAATTTACCAATGTTCAGACGAGTTTGTTTGATCTTAGGCGAGCCACCGAAGCGCATGCATACCGTCGCACGTACCAGCGCATGATCAGATTCGATGCAAGTTGACTAATAAGATCTGCAGTCTCGAACACTGCCACGCCACGACAATGTGGTCAACCTGCTATCAATGTTGCAATAATGATGCACGCCAGGTGGCGGAAGTTCAGGTTGGATAAGTACAGTTGGTGGTCGGAGCATAGGCTGAGCAGCCTTTCTCCATTATCCGAGCGAACGTTATCGTATCCATGCGGACCTCCGTTCGCTTGGCTGCAAACGACTAACACGCGCGTTGAAATCCTCCGTCATAACAACGATATCCATTTTGGGGCCATTAGAAGTAGGTCATGAAGGTTCTGATAGAATAGGTATTTGACTGTATCCGGGCTACAATCAGTGGGCGCATAGGCGGAGATAACAAAAAGAGCGCGTTTGTCTTCTCGACGCCTGTTAAATTAGACGAGCCTTGGAGCCGCATAGCGCAGAAGTGACTGCTGAGGGGAATCCAGTCAAGAAGGACGGCCTCGGCTCTGAAACTAAGGGCAATCCCAACACCAGTTGCAGTGGACTCGGCGTCGCCAGAAAGGCGGATAAGGAAACGGGTATGTGGGTGAACGGTTGAAGACGGTTGGTTGACTGTTGGGGTCTTCAACTCGGGTTTCTTATAGGCAACACGCATCTATTGCAAGAGATTCCATAGCGCGTGCGCGACTGGTTTGTCTAATCTGCATTAAGGTACGCATGTTAAACGCTCCAAAATTGAACTGGTTTGGTTTGAAGTAACCGAGTGGAGAGAGCATTGGATTGTCTTATCTCGGTTTGGAGGTGTGTGGTTGGTGTAGCGATGCTGTTCATAGATGAGAGGCTAAACGAAAGCGGGAGAGGATGGTGCAGAGGAATTATAGCTAAGTAGGTGGCTTGTGGCTGAGAAGTAATAGTAGCTGTAGAAGTAGTGTAATCCATTAGCAGGGAGATCGAGTGTCGTTAAATTATGTTACATGACTCGCCAGTAGGCGAGATACTACCCGGTTTCCTAGGCCGAAGTAGGTGGGTTGTCTTATGGGACCACGGCCCTGAGCCTTTGGCCAAAGAGCCTAACCTACAAGGCAGCAGGGGAGCCCGTGAACGAACATTCAGTTCATACACATTTCGGATGGCGAAAAGTCATACCAGGGGTCCAACACTCCCGAAGTAAAAGGCAGAATCCGATGCTCCGATTGCTTGCCGGTATACAATGTATTCGAGGAAGACAAGGAGCAGTGACTATATTTACCGGCGAGTCACGTTCGCCACGTTGCAGTGTTGTTAAGCAGACACTAGTTGCTTTTTATAGGTAGAACGCTTTCCAGGCATAATTCCACCACGTTCTGTAACACTGCAGCGGAAACATTTGCCAAGACAGGAAATACCCGAATCGCCCAGCTGACACCACGAGGAGGTTGTTCGGCAAGCCTGCCCAATCGATGACTTGGTCAAGAGGAATGAAGGCCCTCTCTTGGCGTCGGTTGGTGTCTTCCGACTACCGGACTGTGGTCCGAAAGACGACGAACACATCTGGTTGGATGCACTAGTTGACATAACAGGGAGCCACATTCAACGGCGTTTGTCTCTCTCCGTCTTGCTTATTTCCCCCCTACAACCACGATCTCACTCTTGGAGCACAATATGTTTTCTTGGAATGTGTTTCCTGGTTTCTGCATTCTGTACATTTATGTGCTGCGCCACAATAGTTACAGTGTGTTTCTCACCTTCAGCTTATGTGTAATGTCGATGCTGATGATCAGTCCATTGATTAGTGTTTGCATAGGTGCTTGTTCCAACCCAATGGGACTTTTTCGTGCATATGATCAATCTCTTTCGGCTAGTCACTTGGCAGAACTCCCAGTCCAGAAGAGCATGAGAGGACAGATGCAACTATGATAATTGCGGTAAAGTTAAAGGTGACAGCAACGCCGACGAACCCCACTTGTCGTGGTGAACCCAGGTACCTCACCTTGCTTCTAGAGTCCGTCGTAGAGTAACTTCCAAATAAAAGTTTATATTGTGCCCTCTCCACTGATGCGCTTCATCATAAACTGACGCGGTCAACAGGATAGAAAACGGGTTCCATATCAAGAAAAAGCACAATAGTCAGATACCGTCCTCCATGGCGCAGTTGCATAAGCTGCGGGCTAGTTGGCAAGAGCCACTAGCAGTCATGGGTTTGATCCTCCGCAGAGGACCGAAGGATGCGCACCACTGATGAGCCCCAGTAGGGCGAAACGGCCGTCTGGTGCTTTTCCGGATAGCTGGTCGACATATCTGAATTGTCGGCTGATTGCGACGAACAAAAATAATCGTCTTTAAGCCTATCCCTGCCGCAATGCTCTACGAAGAGTAAATATGCGGTCACTACAACCACGACCTTGGCGAAAGCCATTCTGGCTTAATAATTCGGCTCTCACGACTGCCGGTGTGTCGTCACAGAATGATATCCATGAAAATTTCGAGGGCAACGAAAGTGAGAATAGTGCTTCATTGGTTTCCGCGTTACGTTCTTTGACGACAGTTGATGCTCAGCAGTCTGGGAGCACTTCTTCAATATCCAATTAGTGCTGAATAACGCGACAAGCTCAACCGACAATTAGCCGCCTCTATCTCTCAGTAAAGGTCGTAGAATTCAGGAGCCGTGTTTCGTCTCAACACAACAAGTTCATATCGATCCTCTTCCAAATTGGTAGGTGGAGCATCAACCTCACACGCAAGCATAGCTAATACAACAAGCAACCTTGCTAAACTGTCACGTAAAATGCTCCATCCAACTGGCTAGTCGACGCGGCAGAGAATGAATCAATTGTCCTTCTTTCTCAGCTGTTGTCTCACTAACTGGAGACTTTCTTAGATTCGTACTCGACCGTTCCCATTTGCACCGGCTTTCTCTATTTCACAGGCTCTTGTTATCCACTAACGTTCGCGGCCAACTCTCAGATTCGTCGTCATCATCATCATTATACACGTCAGCTAGAGGTGTGAAACATCTCAGCTACTGTGCCGCAATACATAAATGAAAAAGGAAAATAAATACAAAAGTTGCATGCCAGCTGAGCTACCAGCAACGGATAGGCATCGTTCCGGTAAGCTACCAGCCGGCTACTAGGCAAAATGAAAAAATTATTGTTTTACGCTAAGAAATGAGACCGTAGGTGGAGGGGGAGGCTAAAAGGGATGGGAGGGACAAAAAACACAGCAGGAACGCCACTGAGGTCGGCTCCTTGCCATGTCAGCAAGTGTATCCAGCCAAACGTGTTCACCGTCTTTTGGACCCCAACCAGGGAGCAGTGACGCTCCAACCGAGGCCAGCACAGAAGTGAGGGCCTTCATTCCTCTGGACCAAGTCATCGCTTAGCCGCCCCTCCTCTTCTTCCATCCACATCCCCGGTGAGCAAACAACGCACTTCGCGGAAGCCTGTGGGCTGGCATGCGCAACACGTGGCCCAGCCATCGGAGCCTGGTGCGTGAAATGACGGTGCTGAGCGGTTCATTTCCTTTTTCTGTGCCGTAAACAAGGCGTCGAACACGCTCGTTACTCACGCGGTGTTCCCACCAGATGTGAGCCAAACTGCGAAGGCACCGATGGTCGAACGTAACTAGCCTCTTCATGTCCGCCGATCTTAGGGGCCAGGTTTCGCAACCGTCCAGTAAGGTCGAACGTAATCGTCATTTCAGCGTGATGCAGGAAAGCAGAACCGGAGTTCATAACTTATGTTCTGCGGTCAAACAGGCCTGTGGCTTGTTCGCATGTTCGAACTTATGTATGCTGGTGAGCTTGCCACATCCCAGCGCGCATGGGACCATTGATGGCTGCTTGCAAGTAAGAGGTGCACGCAACATGCCGGTGTACTGCTGCCACCCTTTTCTTCATGAATATGTGCGGAATCTTTGGGACTTTACAAGCCTGTCGATCTTTGGGCCACTACAATCGAAGTGGCTGTTTCCAATCATTACGTATCGTTTATGAATTTATGAGTACTGTTATATCTACTTGTATTTGTGCGCCCTTATCAGTCCGACTCATTTACCCCGCTCCTGTTTTTAATTCCCAGAGCTATCTTGATGGGGTAAGTGCACTTTTCTGAAATCTTGCGTTTACCCTCTTTGAACACGAATTTTACCCATAGTCGAAATCGCATTTCTAGGGATTGCACACATTCCGCATTAGTACTATACGTGCTTTAGTAATTTTATTACCTGTCTACATGGTTCTGACCTAGACTTGGAGATGTTTCCTTCACCCCGCCTTTTTTGCCCCATCTGTGAGGCAAAGGATTGGCCGGGTCCACTACTCATCTCCCCTAGCTTTTAGTAAAGAATTGTATAGGCCACCCTGGTTTCATATCGTATTTCTTAGTTCTCATGTAAGTACAGCTTTGTTCACTTGTCGTCCTCCACTCTGGCAGTGAATTTGCTTTTTTTCTGCATCGTACAACGGACGATGGGAGTTGTAATACAATCAGCCGGGTGGTCACCGTCCACTCTTAACAGTTGGAACCAGGAGAGTGGACTTAGAAACGCTACTTCTCATTAACTGTGTCATGTCAGATGATGTTTGGATATCTTCATCTTCACTATTGTGCTGTCAGATATCGGCATGAGCTTGTCCCTTAGTCGATTGCATCATCCGGAAATCTGTTGGGCCTCAACCAGTAAGCCAAATTTGCAGTAGACCAAATGGCGACGGAAAGCCTATGGTTTTTCGAGGAATGAGACTCAACCATCGTAGGTAATACATGTATATCAATTAATCCCGCACAAAGATAGGCTTTATATCAGGCATTAACGGCTGAATTCCGGTCACCTGGGTCGTTGACCTCACAACTGATAGTTTCTTCCTTAGCCGTACACTACTGTAAGTCGACTGAACTGAGACTCATCACATTCTGAGTCAGTTTTCTCTCATTCTAAAATGGAGTTGTACAAATGCGTCATTAATACGTTGGTACGCAGTAACCACGCTTCATTGCAGTGCACCTACCAGCAGTTGCACGTGAGCTAAGAATACTGCGAGGGTCGCCCGATACCTGTGCAGGCTCGAACCTGCGTCCTCGGACTACAAGGCAGGCTTGCGATCCTTAAGGTTACGGGTCGGCTACCACAGAGGTGCGCCGCCAATCTAGTTGCTGTCCGAATTTATTGGTGCATCCGATGATGGACGAGAATTCTTATGTTAAGATTTTGCCTGGAAGAAGTAGGCAATGATAGCTTTCTCCAGTTTTGAATCCATGCCTTCTGTTGCTTGTCCTTTTTTCCTTGCCACATTCATCACAGAGTACCACCTAGACGGTTTTTTCTCTCTGTTCGACACTCATTAGTAACAAGCCTTCCCTCGACAACGTTAACAGCTGAACCGGTGACACCACTATTGCGAGGCTACAGTCGTTACTTCTAGTGCATGACGGATATCAACAGCATATAGACATTATAATCTCGGGTACTTTTGAGTCTTCCCTATCTGTCTGAATAGGCACAGTTGCGTTTATTTTTTCCATTCCAACTGTCCGCTACTTTTCCAGTCGTTAACTTGAAACTAGCGTTTCCACGCTATCATCATGTTTGAATGAACTGCCACGTCATTGGACATTCTCTTGTCAGTGTGCTTTCTGTCCACTATGAATGTTCCCCTACGTTTTGGATCTCTTCATCGTTTCGATTCTTTTTTACGGCATCCTACTTGCGATTCGACCACCCAGAACGTGAGTTCTTTTTGCGTCTATTGCATGTGTTTTTTTACTGATTTCCGCTCATCTGTCCCAAATTTCTCCGTTATTTCGGGGGCCGAGGCTGTCATGCTTTGTCTAAAACTGCTATTCCACGCATCTATTAGGTTTGCAACGGACCCATTTGGTCCACCGTTTCATCTCATTCCGTTACATTAATACGCGATACATGTGGCACTACGGTGTCGCCACACTTCTCATCAGAACCACCCATCTTTGCGATCCATGTGTGATACAGTTAGCAACGGTCGCAAGAGGAACCGGGCAAACCGTAGCTCAGGTTGATTATATGTTCACTGACACACACACACAGGCGGTGCTGTAAGTGGAGACAGCTATTCAGCCCCGTCAAGTGTTAGCGGTGCGCCATATATGGACAACGGCGTCTTCACAGGTCTATGTCTGTACAGGCTGTCTTATGTGCTGCGAGGGAGAACTCCATTAGACTAGGAGTTCGCTTAGTTGTGAGAAATTGAGCCAGAGTGACACGGTTTGACGATGTAGCGTACTGTGAAAGGCGGACACCATGATGTAGTTGAAAATTTGTACTATCATTCCAAAGTCAACGCTGTGCTACTCCCTTCGTGCGTTTCTCTTGATAGCTGAGCGAATTTTTTCCACGGACATTTAGTGGACATCATGGCTACGTGCAGTGCATCGGGCCACATAGGGTCTGGTTATTCGGCCGCGATCACATAACGCTGTTTGTTCCACTTGCCACCTAGTGGACATAGCACGAGGGCAACTAAGCGATGCGTTATTCCCGACTTGTTGAACAAGTCAATGTTCAGCAAATCACTCCCAGCTTCTACGGCTGTTTCGGTTGCTTGATAGGTGTGTGTGTATGTGTGTTTGCGATTAGTATCCCTTTCTGACTTTGCTGAAAGTTTGTGCCTAATGGTTCACATATGCTGGCCATCGTCCCTTCTTGCTTTCTTCCCCACGTCACGACATGGATATTTCTGTTGGGCTTCTCGGTGTTCCCGTCTTAAATGTCACCTTTTGTCCCACTTCATCTGTGAAGTACATTCCCACATGCATTGCACTGCGGCACCCCGAGACTGTCTTCTTCCCCGAATGCCACCAGTGTGCATGTGCTGCTTACTGTTTTGCGTTGCTTACCACATTGTCACATTCATATTCTAGCTCATCGTACACCATCCCACTGTCCTCCTGATCCGTCTTGGTGATCTGGAACCCAGAGCGGTACAGTTTTCTTTTGTCGTATGGACTGTCACCACCGTTTTATACCGGTACTCAGTTTGTCTGGTCGCACGATCTGATTAGTAGCCACTTTCGACTAGTTTTCAATTTCTTACAAATCTTTGTATTTGACCATCACAATTTATGGACAGGCCACTTCTGTAGAACGGATTTCCGATCGGAAGTGATTGATATATCCATCCCATTCACTCTGCTATAGTCATTATTTAAAGTTGTTTCGGTCTAGCAGAGATACACAGCCAACCAGTGAGTTGAGCCCACTTTCACTTGATATTTAACTGATGTCCACGTCCATTGGATAAGGGCCATAATTCTGGAAGCTGTTCAATTTCGACAGAACCCTCACCCCCATGCTTTAGAATGGTTCTTAGGTGCCCTCATGTTTTGCACTGAGTCGTTGAGTCGTCGTTCAGCCCGGATAACACTTCCCTGCACTGCCTAGATTAAGTCCCTGCGTGCACGAACTTATTATTTCACCAGTCCACTGCAGTTTCCACTTCTGACCATCACACCGCACTTCATGGTCTAGATGACTACGTCACGCATACCAGCTGGGATACTACAACTTGCCTAGCTAACCTGCGGACCCGTAATGCGTATTCTGTGCTTTTCCATATGTTATGTTACGCGTGCTATTACTTCTTTGCTGGACATTGTGATTTTCCCACAACAACGCTTCAGCATTCATGAGAATTTACGGGGCTGTTCCGTAGGTTGGCTCATTTTTATGGAACAGTGTAGTGTTACTATGGCGATTGTACTCGTCAGCTGTGGACTTTCTTATGCGGTTTTAATAATACAAGCTGAAAACTCGCATCCATTGTTGCCACCCTTCGGTCACTTGAAACCGTGAACACATGCTAGTAATGTATCCACTCGTTTTCGGCTTACTTCCATGAGTTGATGGTTCAGGTGTGGACATCACGATCTCTTTGACGTTTTTCACTGAACAGGTGCTATCTCCTCACAAAGCGAGTTCGTGTTCATTCTGCCCCTAGTTCTACGAATGATTTGGTGATCTTTTTGACCCCTTGTAGACGGCGTTACATTTTGCGGCCAAATTCGGAAACTGCGCACTCGTCCGTATTTTGGTCGGAAACCATCAAGCTGATGTGAACAAGCGGAATTTTGTGAGTTTTGCACTAACTAACTTCTCCTCTCGCAGCCTCACTCCTACCATTTATCGCGTTGAAGTGTGTTTAACTTGTCCCTCCTTGTCTATTCAGGAACTAATGACCTCGCCGTGTTCCTTCCAACGTGTTCTGTTGCACTCTCAACTATTGTTTTGCTCTGTCTAAGGCGGATGGGAAACAGATTTGCTCTTCTTTTCCTTCTTCCTTACGTTCTCACTTCGCCATTATCTTCTCTCCTGTTTCTCTACTCCCTGCTGACCCGTAGCCGAAAGGTAACTAGTTTGTCTTATAATTTGATGGTGCCGCTTCGAGCCTGTGTCGGGGCAGGGCGACCGTCGCAGTATCCTTAGCCGACGTGCGACCGGTGGTGATTGTGCCGCACAGTAGCGGCAGTACTGCGTACCGGCGTACTGCTGATGCCTTTCTTTCTCTACTCCCTAAGCATCCTGTCTGCTTAGTTAATCGGGCCTCTTGGCATTTAGTAAAACCTCGCTTTCGCTCTTTTCTGTCACACTTTTGAGAGTCGGACTGGCCCGGTTCGGGATGGATCAAGAAAATGACCTTCGTGAACCCGGTCACTTGAACCTGGCCCTATCTACTGATCCCTCTGTGTCTACACTTTCAGTCAAGAGACATGCTACTATCCTGCTTCTGTTACACATACGTTCCTGGAACAACTCGCTGTGACGCCCAGTTCTTCTCCAACATACACATCAAGCGGCAACGTTACCTCGCGTGTCACCCACACTGTGTAGATACTTACTTGTTTCCCGGTCGACCGTCAGTTGGCTTTACGAGGTTATTGGAACCAGGCACACTTATCAAACGACGATGTAGACAGACGGTCATCAATTGTTGCTGTCCACCTTTTCACACTGCACGTTCACCTTGGACACAGTAACACGTGTGCTAAACATACTGGTTGGATCGGTCTTTGTTACAACAGCACAAGACCATACACCTGGGCGCGCATGCGCACACTGTCTCTCCGGTCGTCCCCGTCTTCATGGTACTAGTTTCCATCCTCATTACTTGCTGGCTTTGTGTTGAAATTCATGTAACCAACAACTTCGTCTTAGGTGATAAATGAGGAGCATCACTTCCGTCTTATAAGAACCTAGTCGAATAATAATAATAGTAATAATAATAACAATTAACAACAACAGTACATCAGTACTTTGATCCGATGTTTCCTCTCTGCACAGCGATAATCATCACGTAAGCAGTCGAGCCCCTGACCGCCTATACGGAGCCCACGCATGACCGGTGAGTCGCACACTTCCGCATAGAATGAACGAACATATAGCCACTTGGGGGAACCCGCTAATCAGCACACGAGTGGTGTTGCCTGACTGGTCATAGTTTGACTCTTCTACGGCATTCCACGGGAGTTTTATACACCGTTCCCGAATGTTCAATACCACCATTTTATTGGACGGTGTGACTAGCAAATACAACTCCGGTTCTTCTCTGCTTAGCTCTAGTTTCCAGTCGACAGCCCACTTGCTAATCAGAAGAAGGGTTACCACTTCAGAGGCAGAGGAAGGAAACCTAGTGCATAACCCAAATGCCCTACGAAAACATCCAGGGTCGAGGCACTTATTCCTTGTCAACAACAGACCGTTGGCTGTTATACAATGATACGGCGACATCGGCTAGGCAGCTTCCGTATGCCTATCACTGCCCGCGTCATAACTAGCCACAACCCAGCACTAAGCACAATTTAACTAGCCAGTCCAATTTGGAAACGACACAACCCATGAGGCCGACTGCGAGCCATTTCCTGTAATGTCTTTTGCTAAGCACCGAGCGGATCATGCGGACTCCAGTCTGGAAAGTGGGACGGACTAGCAGGGCGCAGTTTTGTAGTCATTCACTTCACGTTGCCAATTCGACTCTTCTCTACTTCGAACTTTTGCTCGATCCGGCAACCAAAACAAGGCCATCCACGGTAGGTGATGACCAGGCTTTTATACTACGTGTCAAAATCAGAACAATTTCATCAATTTTCTTTGTTACATTGTGGAACTGGCCTGACTTTCATTATCTACTACTCGCCTGCGCCTATCATCGTTGTAGATGGTTGGCGGCATCCGGTTTCGGATTTGCCTGTCACTGTGGTCAGCCACAGGACGCCTGCGCCTACAGAGGGACCATGGATGGCTTGCGCTGCACCACCCACAGCTCCAACCACATACCCCATATCCAGTGTAAACCCGAAGGAATAAGACCGGGAGGCATGCGGATGGGAGCCACGTTTCATCAACGGAGCCGGCCCACACTCCTTCACAGGCAAACACAAGCACGTTGTATTTGGGGAATCAAGCGCACACACGGCGATGGCTGGACCGTAGTCCGCTCCACACTGAGTGCATGGAACCACTCTTCGAGCCTAGCACGACCACAAGGACCGTGCACCCCGTCCCTTCCAGCAATGACCAACTGTCTCCTGGAGCCAGTGTGGACGAGGTAGTGGGTAATAGACAGGTAGGCACCTTGTCAACATGCACATCAAGCGCAGCCACACCTGGGATGTCAAACATTAGCCAATCATTCGAAATGCCGATATCGATTAAGGTATACGCATATGACGACATAAACACTCGCTAAATGAGCATGTAGAAGAAATTGGTTATAAGTGAATCCGTGATAAGTACAAGATGTCCGAAAGCTAAAGTTGGACTTGGAGGCTCCGCTGGTGGTTGGGTTGCTACAAGCAACCTCTATTGAGACCTCGGTTCACTTGTGGTGGACCTCGGTCATTCCGATCACATCGCATTCGTTCTCGCTGGACCAAGCGTTGCTCGTGGATCTCAGTGGCATAGTGCTTATGGTGTCGACCATGAGCCACTAGACTCTGAGTTCCGGCCCAACTCAGGCTATCTCGAACTGATGAGTCCCAACCAGGACGAAACCGCGGTCTTCGGGTGCCAGTGTTGGGGTGAGCAACACTATAATTTCCATGTCCGAAAGTTATTTAAAAAATACCACGCGATAAAATTACGCAAGTTTACCACAATTTGCTTGAGGGACGTGTGCAAGTAAGGAGAAGATTATCAAGTACGAAGAACAAACCAAATAACGTGTAATGAATTTTATCCACATTAAAAAGACCTAGTTTAAGTGTAAGTTGGTTTAGCCCAACTGCGGTGAAGAAGCATCATGAATGCAACATCAGCCTCAGCAAGGGGCACACGCTGGTACCAACGGGCACTAGCAACGTTCAAAAAGACAGTCTCTTCCGCTGAGAATCTATAGCAAAACGGAAATTCAGTGAGACAGTAACCAAGTTAGCACATGGCATTAACCCAGCTCGGCTTCACTTGTCACGAGGATTCCCAGTACCACCCCAGTGAGCACACAGCGGGGTCAGCCTATGGTTTAACTATGAGTTTAATGACCAGTGACTTTAGCCGCTTTACCGCATTGTTACACTCACATGTGTCACAGTAATACGTCAATCAAATATGGCGTACTCGCAGCATTTGGTCTTGTGTCTACTTCCTGGACTGGCTCTTTTATTCTTATCATGGATATCATATCATATCCTATCACATTATCCTAAGCATCATGCATAGTAACACGAGCCACACGAGCTTCACTGCACTTTGCCGCATCGATCATACTTGACAAATTTAATCAATCATATGGTAGGTAAGTATTGCGCGCGTTTGGGTGGTTAATAAACAGTCCATTTTTTACGACACTTCCGGATCACATTTCGGCAATCAAACGTGTGTGCTTCATGGTGGACCGGAGTAGGCTCTTGAACCAGATTTCATTTTCAACAAATTGAGCCATATGGATGTATTGTCGCTCAAAAACTGCGACATTTTGTACATGTATCTCTCTCGATTCGTTTGGGGTGCCATGCACGCGCGTGCAGTTGCTTGAACATTCAACTCATCGAATCACATCGTCTCCGGTTGGTGATTGTCCATACTTTTTCGTTGAAACACTTTGAGGTCACGTGCTGTGTCCCTCGGATCCGATCAATATATAGTCGACGAGACTTATTATGGTCAGTATTCCTTCGGTTCCTTTTTCCATCATTCGCTTCCCTACTTCTAGCTTTGTCGGTCTTACGCGTTGGATGCCCGGTGCAGAACGATCGAACTGCATAACACTTGCCTACACATCAGATGGCGCTCCACTTTCGCACTGACGTATCACAGCTTCCGCAATTGGCATTCCTGGTGCGTGGGCTCCGCGGATGGACCCAGTACTCCTTAACACCTCTGTAACCCCCCACACATCATGCGTAGCGCATGTGATATTGTTCGGTAACGCAATATGTACATGCAGCACAATTATACACTTGCTGACCCGTAACCTTAAAGATCACTACTTGCCTCGCAATCCGGAAGTCGCGGGTTTTATTCTGCGTAGGGACCGAGCGACCGTCGCAGTATCCTTAACCCCGCCTGCTACTGATAGTGGTTGCGCGGCAGCGAATTGTCAGTGCTGCGTACCCCGGGTCACTGCTGATGCTATTTTATGATGTGCTTTGCTGCTGCCTCACTCTTGTTGATCTTCCATTCATGCTTTCCACCCTCTTCTCTCTTTCAGGCGGTGAGTTTTCAACAACACTCATCTTTGGTTTGTACGTGGACTTGTTGTCACATACATAGGGAAAACCGTCGACAGTACACAGCCTCGTTCTTGCATCACTGATTTTCAACAGTTTCCTCGATGTTGGACAGATTGCATCTACAGCAGACGCCCCCTCCTACGGATCTTGGTGCGATGGATGGTCGATGTGGGTGTTTCACGGTATGACGCTACCATTACCGCCATTGCACAGGTGTCAAGTCAAATACATATCATCAGTACAAGCCCGCCGCCCACCTGACACGCGTAGTTCCGAAGTTACTGGTCTTCGGTTTCCCGCGTATGGCCGTTAATATTCTTATCCGGTTGTTATTTCTTGCTTTTCCCATACACTATTTTCCTTTGTTTGTCTTTCCATTGTTCCATTATTTTCACTCTGTTCTTACTATCACAGCTGTGCGAGTCATGGTGATTGATCCATCTCTCTCAGGAAATTCGTACCATAGCTTTTGAACCGAGCTGGACAGGCATACTGTTGTGTTCCAATACGCACACTAGGCCCCTGCTTGCGTTAGGGTCTTGAAACACTACGGCCGGAACCCACTAACGAAAACAGAACACGGGGCGGAACGCTCTGAACACTATTCAGGTAAGGTACTGGCGTAATGACCTTGACATTGATCAATCGAGGACGCTCGCCCAATCATTTGCAGGCTGCATGTGTGAATTGACAGACATGACTAGAAGTCGCGGTAGGCGCTACAAAATCACCACCTACCTAAATGAGCGCAACAGCATGGATGGCAATTGAACTGTTAGACCCACCGCATTGGACCTCCTTCCTTGACATTGACTCTGCGTTCGGTTGAAGAGCTGAGTAAAGCTGTCTGGCATTAACTCGGCGGCCGTCCGCAAGCTCATACGTTCCTGCCCCTAATGTCCGAGTGATACTGATATGGCGCGATAATGCTGGCTGCCCTTTACATGTCTGCCTTTCCTTTAGCCGGATTAACGTTCCAGGACGCAACGGTATGGATTGCTTTTCGTAAGAGGAACGATAACGTCGGCGACGCTTCAGTTGGTGGGGATCGTTGTTTTTCGTAGCCGTAATGGCCGTGTTTAACTTCGTGCGTAGCTTCCTCCCGGACATTAGCTCTCTGGCGTGCGATCTGTCGCCCTGTGGTGCGACCTTCTGTGGGTAAACAGATCCTCGACTACGGCATCTTCCCAATGCATGCCGGACAAACGTGCTGTCTGTATACTTTCCTTCAGAGAGTGATTTGCACGCTCAATCATTCCTTTGGCAGTTCGTACGTGTTTCACATCGTGAAGTTGTAGGAAATGTCGGAACTCGTGTTTGCGAATTGCGGTCAGTTGTACGTCACAGTTTCTTCGGGAAGCCTAAATCTAGCAAGCAGATGCTTCAGCCACCTTATAACGCTTGAAGTGTTCACAGCGCCACCTCCTTTTAAGACTGCGACCATGGGATGCACCCATTCGAAGAAGTTAATTGGCTCTACCAGGCCGTCGGATGCCACCTCCAGTATGGCTTTCTCCACTATCGCACGTTTCGCCAATGGAATAGGACGTGGTTGTGATTTAGAAAACGGCTTAGCGTCCTGTTTAAGGCATGTGCGATGAGCGGCAGATGTAATCCGGCCATCGTCTCAGTAAATAATTCGGGATATAAACCTTTAAGCACTGATGCATTGAGTGCCATGATGCGCACTCGATCGATAGATAACGTTAGGTTAAGAGCGACCATAGCATTTCACCGCAGCAAGGCTGAGCTGTCTTCAGATGCCACCTACATTGCAACCTCGGATGCGACCGACTAAATTTCATCACGGATGCGCACAGCGGCAATGGTATAAGAATCAAAGTTGTACGAAATGAGAGGCAATGGAATGTCATGTAAGTACTTGTCACAAAGGCTAGATGGAATGATTGTTATTCGCGGTGCAGAACCTTTTTCCATTGCATTTGGCACAGTTGTATGGGGGCCATGGGGCATAACTGTACGAATATCAGGGGAAAGGAGCTTGGGCTGACAGTACAGATAGCCGATGCAGCTACTCTAGTCACGATACAGCCACTTCCAAAATTGGAAGACAAAAGCCTCTAGCGGAACTTGTATGGAGCACCCGGAAGCTAGAATGTGCAGCCAAAATATGGGTTCAAAATAACTAGTAATTGCGAAAAAAGATCTAATTAAAAGTTCCTACTATAGCAACTACTTGATGCGCAAAAACTCGCTTGTTGGCTGTTCAGCTAGTACGCTTACTGGAGGGCTTCAAGGCAGGTCATTCTGATTGGTCTGCTTCAAGGCAAAACGATATCATTGGCTAGCCAATCAGCTACGGGCGGCATATGACCAATCTTCTCCGGACTGCTTTAGTCCGAGAACTGGCTTCGAACGATGCTACGGACAGTGTCCTGTAACACCTCCCTCGCGAAAAGTGACGTACGACTTCCTCCTGGGATCCAGCTGCATTCTGACCACGGATCTCCGTATCCGATCAGTCCATCGTCGTGGCTGCAAGCTCGTTCCTTCTGTGGTCACCGGGCAAGGCTCATTAGGGTACTTCCGAGTTCTAGGGTGCATGCCGAAATTGTCCAGCAGAATATCCAGTGGCAGCGATCGTTCAGTGGTACCTATGTGAACGCCAGTAGGCCGCAGCTGGTTTGCGTGTCTGGTCCAAATCATAGAACCCACTCGAACTTTATGCAGCGCTTGTCGAAGTCTGCAGTCGATCGAGCCTGTGACCTTCCAAGGCCATAGTCTCTGACTAAAACACTGTCCTGCATGAAATAGACGTACTTGCATCCTGTGCCGCCGATTGAAGTAATTTTCCATTCTCACGTTCCTCTCCTGCGGAGCGAAACACTTCAGAAGCAGCAAGATATTCAGAGTACGGAATTTTCTGCCCATAAGCGCCTCTGCTGGGGACAGCTGATTTGGCACCTAGGGGTTCGGAGTTGATCTGTACAGTAGAAAGAAAACACCCATTATCTTTTTTATAGTTCATTCCTTCCTCATCTTCAGCAACTTTGAACAGCAGCAAGCGTAGGTGTGTGATACCGTTCTACGTACAGTGTTTGGCGAACTTCAAAGATGCTATCTAAGGGCCATTGTCAGTAACCAAAGTCTCTCGTATTCCATGTTTGGCGAAAAGTCTTCTCAGTACGCCAATTGTTGCGCCACTTGTCATGCGTTCCATGCAGAACACTTCTGGCTACTTACTAAAGAAATCAACAACGATGAGATACTGTTGTTCATTCACGGGACCAAAGAAATCTGCGTGTACTCGCTGCCACGGTTTCATTAACAACGGCCAAGAAGACATCCGCTTTCCTGGACGCCTTGCTTACAAGCGCACATTTCGGGCACGATTTCGCTACCTGTTCCAGCTCCGAGTCGATATTCGGCCAGTAAATATAACCATGCAGTCATTTTCATTCTATTAATGCGAGGGTGTCTACGATGAAACTGCCGTAGAATTCTTTGGCGACCAAAAGTAAACAACCATTGACGATGGATAACTCGCCTTTTCTCCGGGACAGACTTTGCAATTCCCCATCTAGGTTGTCCTTCGGCCACTGTGTAGTATGAAATCTGACTGCTTGTTGTAGGGTAGGATCCCGCATTGATGCACCACGTATCATCTCAAAAGTTACGGGAAGCTCTGTGCGCGTTTCCAACAATACCTGATTCACTTCTGACTCCAGAGAGATGGCTGCAATGGTAGATTCTTCTTGCTGGCGCTGCTGGCTTTCCAATCGCCGGGAAACTGCATCAGATTGACCAATGTTTTTTGTAGCAATGTGCTTCACCGTAAAATCGTATCCAAGTAATGTACTAGACCACCGCCGTATAGACAGGGATGCCCGACTGTGCTCCGAAAATTGCTACCAGCGGCTTATGGTCAGTAAAAAATGTAAACTTCCTTCCATACATCAATTCGTGAAATTTCTTTGCAGTGGAGACTCACCAAGGCTTCTTTCTCTATCTGGCCATAATTTCGCTCTACGGCAGATAGCGACCGGGCTGCATGTACAATAACCTTTTCTGAAACATCTGCGAACTTGTGCGCTATGACTACCAATGCCATAGTTCGAGGTGTTTTCTGCCACCACAATCTCCAAAGTAGGGTCGTAATGTGTTAGCAGTAGGTCGGAATATAGTACCCTTTTTACCTCGTCAAATGAGTTCTGGCATTCTTCGGACCAGTTCCAGCGTTTATCCTTCGTCAGTAGGTCATTGAGTGAGCCACGCAAGCGATGTATGTGCGGTAGGAACGGGCTGTAGTGACTCATAAGTCCTAGGAAGAAACTTGGCGTTACAACATCTTTGGTCGGCGGCATCTTCTTGCTTGCCTCGATGTTTGCTGCGTCTGGACGCCTGCCGTTCCCGTCGATTCTAAAGCCGAGAAATGTAGTTTAGTCCCTAGAGAAGGTACACTTCTCAGGTCAGAGTCTGAATCCATATTCCTCAACACGGCCAAAAACTCGATCCAACTTTCCGAATAGGTCAGCAGCACTGCTGACAACATTGATGTCCTCCAGGTATGCGGCTGCTCCATCGACATCTGTCAGCATTGTGTCAATGATCTGCTGGTATATGGCTGGTGCAGATTTGACTCCTAAGGGGAGACGGTGATACTGGTACAAGCCTCGATGCGTATCGATGGTGAGTAATTCTCGTGAAGCTTCATGTACTTCGATCTGCAAGTATGCATTAGAGATCCAGTTTTGCGAAACATTTACCACCATTCAATTCGGTAAAGGAATCATCTGGGAGCAGTAAAGGGCACTGATGGGCGTTCCATGCAACATTTAAACGCGTTGAGAAATCGGCGCATATCCGAATCTGGCCGTATGGCTTTTGGACCACCACAATGAATACCGCCCAACCGGGTGGATAACCCCTGCTCACTCTCTAAGCGATTCAGCTCCTGGTCAATCAATGGTGTTGGTGGGCCTCTCGTACGAAACAATGGAACAGCATCGGGCTTAAGGGATAGTGAAGCTTGTACTTTAATGCACTTACCAACGCCTTCCGGAAAAACGGCTGCATATTTCTCTAGCAGGCGCTCGATAGCTACAGTTTTAGTTGTTGTCTTGTGTATCTGGACACTTGCATAGATCTGGTTGATCTGAAGTAGGTTGAAATGCTCGATCCAGTCCAGACCCAGAAGATTCAAATTCTGGTGGCTCGTGACGAAAACCGTTCCTCATGCGGTAACATCAGCATAACAGCACTCACAATCGACTTGACCAATCAATTTCAACTCAGCGCCTGATGCACTTTTCGACTGCTGAGTGGTAGGTTTGATTTCTGGTGACCTGACAATTCTCCACAGCTTTTCTGATATGACCGTAATGTCTGAGGCCGTATCGATCTGCAAACGCGCCTGGCTTCCATTAATGTTGACGTTAATGTACTCTATACGATCTCTGACATCGTCAGTAAAATTGGCGTTCACTCTCCTAGCGAAACGACCGTAGGTTTTCTTTCGTGCATCATGAACCGGTCTGAAAAATGGCCTGGATCTGCAACGAGTTTCTCTGTGCCTACGTCCACGACATTTATGGCAGATATGCTTGTTGTATGGACACCATCTAACAAAATGCCAGTCTCCGCATTGCCAACATGTGGATGCTGGTTTTCCTTGAGGAGTCCACTTGCGATCACTGGCCGGAAAATTGTTCCTCGAAATCTGTTGAACTGCGAAATCATTGGAATGCGCCTTCGTATCCTCGACCATATCGTGTTTTAAGTTGATGATTAACTGGGCCTCAGCAATGACAGCTTGCAGTGTGACATCTGGGTCTCACTCCAACAACCCGAGTATTCTGGTTCGGATCTCGGCATCCTTGGGAGATTGCAGGCTGCCTACCAGTATCAGACACTCAAATTGGTTTTCAGTAAGTGATTTCCTCTTGAATTTCTGGCACTCTCGCTTCACTGTTGCTGCATGGGCAATGAGACTGTCGCTGTCCCTCTTGCACAGCTTCGGGTAATTGTACTGATTGTTGAAAACTGATGCCTGATCGCTGAACATCTCCGTAAGTCAGGAAATCGTTTCATCAAAGTTGGAATCTTGAGCGCTTTTGGGCGAAATGTAATTAAAGTACCTGTCATGCTTCATAGTTCCGAGTTTGCGTAGCGGCAGCCGTACTTTTGATGCATCATCAAGATTTGCTAGCTCCTTCTTGAAGATATCTTCATAACGTCTGGACCATGCATCGAAAATCAGTCGCGAAGCGAGATCAAGAACAAACTCACTGTCACCGTTGATTATTGCATCAACTGAAGGCTTTTCAGCATTGTGGATTGATGTAGACTGAAGCGATAGTGTTCGAGTGAAAGTCTAGCTCATACGCAGCTTTACCGCCTCGAATTGCTGCTGCTGTTGAAGCAAACTAGCCTTCAGATCTTCTACTGAGATTGACATCTTGAATAACTCTGCTTCCGTCGCCAAAAGCTGTTGTGTTTCTGATACCAGTACGGATAACCGGTGCAGCCACTTCCCAAATCAGAAGACAAAGGCCTCTGGCGGAACTTGTATGGAGCACCCGGAAGACAGCCAAAATATGGGTTCAAATGAGAATGGGTTCATGAAAAAAAGACCTAATTGAAAGTTCCTGACTATAGCAACTGCTAGGTGCGCAAAAACTCGCCTGTTGGCTGTTCAGGTAGTGTGCTTACTGGAGGACTTCAAGGCAGGTCATTCTACTTGGTCAACTTCAAGGTAAAACGATATTATTGGTTGGGTAGCCAGTCAGCTATAGGCGGCATATGACCAGTCTCCTCTGGGCTGCTTTAGACAGACAGCTGGCTTCGAACGCTGCTACGGATGGACTCCGGTAACATTGTCATCACTGGCGTCTCACGCAGTCAGACTTAACACGTCACTCTGAGATAAAATTGATGCATGTCAGTCATTGTAGTATGACCCGACCGAAGCGGTAAAACACAACAGGCGCCTCACTAGCGCCACCCTCTTCCCCCCACAAGTAGCTGAGCACGATCTTGTTCGATAAAATTCCTGAGCTTCCCGTTACACCTTTTGTATACTTGTTTTTCCATATACCACCCAACTCGACTTATCTAGGCTTCTCATCGCACCGCACACCTCTTTAGCCTCTGGCTGCATGGTAGTATCGCAAACGAACCGCTCTCCACAGCCATTCATATGATTCGCCTTTCTTGTTTTCCTCTTATAGGGTTTGACCCCGTTGCACATGGCCGCTGCAAATGCCCAGAGGGATGCCATCATATTGCTAACCTCAACTTATGGTACGCATTGCACCTTCATGCTGATTACCATGTACTTGTTTCATGTGGGTTTTTCTTCTTCTTGCCCCCGAGATGATTGGATGTTCTGCAGTATCAGCTGATTGATGTCCTTCGATATCGGCTGTGTGTGTGTGTTGAAGTATGTCAAAATTGGTCATGTTTCATTGCACCAGTTTCTGACCTAAAACAGTATGCACTCAACTGACTTCATGTGCGTCCGTCAGCCGTAAAAATCGTCAACCTGTGTCTTGCGTCTGCGCCAATGTGAAGCAGGACACACTGTTGATGCACGACATTCGAATCCGAATGGTGGCGTCTAGTGTTCGAGTCTACGAACACCACACTCCACACTTTGATCATTTCATATTCAAGCTGTCTGTGATTCACCCACGCACTTAGTTTGATTCATCGTCCTTTATTGAACTTACTCAAAGTTACTCTGATCCACTTCCACCCGAATTCACTAATCTATCCGCACTGTGCCTCTCAGGTCAACTAGTGCATACCTTGTGTGGCCATTCACTTTGTCAGTTCTCATTTTGCATTTGAGGAAAACTTCACTGTCTCTGTGACTCATCTCGCTACTCCACACTGCGTACATCTTCATGCGTGAGTTCACCAAAAAGGCATCAGTAGTACGACCGTACGCTCAGTGTCCGCGCAACCAGTCGCGCGAGGACTATGCATACTGGAGAAGTCACCCAGTCCCCTAAGCAGGCTCGAACCCACGCCATTAGGATTGCAAGACCTTAAAGCCACGAGCCTAGCTTCACCAAGGCAACCCACAGCACCCCCACGATAAAACCTCGGTACTTTTTTGCCAACTGCACATGTTGACACTACATTGGACATCTTTCTTTTGGCCTTAACACTCAGAATCCCACGGAGTGAATGGACCTTGCCATCCTAGGATATTACAATCTATCTTCATCGCACTGTGGATTTTCGACGATTCGAAAATATTCATGCCCTCGGTGGTTGCGATTACTCAGCCAACAACATGCACTCATTCACCCCAAACCACTGTGTTCAGTCGAAATTTTTCGCCAATGTGGGTACCGGATGCGAACAAACGACCGAGCTAAAACAATGCACACGATCAGAGCTGAGTCAGCGGCGCAGTCACGCAATGGCGGTGCTGCGACGAGCAAAAGATCAACAAGCAAGTCGGCATGAAACGTTTCTCCGGTCGTCAGACAACGAAATCAATCTTAAATATATATTATACACAATCTGTGGTACAGATATTGTGCCATCGGAATCATGGCTGAATAGAAAAACAATACGAATAATAAGAAAAGAGCAACAAGAAATGCTTTTTTTGTCAAGTTTACCACTCACAGTTTTTGATTTTTTTCAGTTTGTTCTTTTTTTAGAGGGAGGAGGAAGGGACACCGCAACACACTGATGCACACGTCCGCCATTGACATCGATCTTGAGCCATAACTTCCAAGGTTTTCAACCAGCAAGTATCCTCATCTCTCGGACCCCAACCAGGTAGTCGACAACAACCGGCCGAGGCCAATTGTTTCGTCAACTTTTTCATGCGGCTTCTCCATGTTGTAGGCTGTCCACCAGACCATCTCTTCCAGCCCTGTCCAGCAAGTGCAAACAACGCACGACGGGGGTAACGCTGGACAGGCATGCGCAATACGTGTCCCAACCACCGCAGTTGATGCAGTGAGATGAGCTCCTCGAGCGAGTGGCTTCCACGTCCCAAGACACGCTGTCTAACTTCCACATTGCTTATGTGGTGCTGCCACCACACACGGGCAATGGACCGCAGACAGCGGTGCTCGAAGACGGATAGCCTGCGCAAGTCATCTTTACGAATGGGCCAGGTCTCGCATCCGTACAACAGTACAGCACGAACAGTTGCACAATAGACCCGCCCTTTGATGGAGAGACGAATGTCGTGGCGACGCCACAAATGCCTCAGCCTAGAAAAAGTGAGGCGTGCTTTCGAGATGCGCATCGAAATCTCGTCTCCAACAGCCCCGCCAGCAGTGATGCAACTTCCCAAGTAGACAAAGCTCTCCACAACCTCCAGTGTCTCACCAGCAAGCGTGAGTGCAGGCAGAGGCACCTGTCAGTCTTGAAGGAGAGCCTTGCATTTGGATGGCGAAAAGCACATACCGTACTTTGATGCTTCAATCGTCAAGCGGTTTAATGCAAGTTGGACGACCTGTGGATCGTCACCTAGCAAGACGATATCATCAGCATAATCCAAATCAACAACTCGACTATCTGGGAGGAGCTCAACGCCAGCGTTCAACGAATCGCTCAGAGCGTTCTTCAGGACATCCTCAATGGCAAAGTTGAATAGGAACGGAGAGATAGGGCATCCTTGTCGAACTCCACTGGAGACCACAAAGGTAGGCGAAAGCATGCCATAAGCCCTAACCCTGCCCGAGGTCAGACTGTATAGAGCGCGCAGTATGGAGACGAACTTCTTGGGGATACCGTTCCTCAGAAGGCACTGCCACAGTACTGTACGATCGACAGAATCGAAGGCTGCACGGATATCCAGGAACACAGCAATGGTTGGCCTCTGATACGCATGGCGGAGCTCAGGGATCTGGCGAAGTGTGAAGATTTGATCGATGCAGCCGCGACCAGGGCGAAACCCAGCTTGTTCTTCTCGTTGCAACGATTCGCGTGTTGGGGATAGCCTGCGAAGTATGATGGACACCAGCAGCTTGCAAACGACGGGGACTAAACTTATTCCTCTGTAATTGGAGCAGATTGTGCGCAGGCCCTTTTTGAAGATGGGTACGACTATCGATTCACCCCAAGATGATGGAACCTTCTCTTTCGACCAAATTTTCGAGAACAGAGCGGTGAGTTCTCGGACCAGCGATGCGCCACCATCTTTAAATAGAGCTGTGTGAAGACCATCAGGGCCGGGAGCTTTATAACGCTTCATGTACCGGAGCTCCTGCTCGATTTCCTGGGAAGAGGGAGGGTCTGTTGGGGTAGACCACTCGGCCCCAGCGCGAGCGCCAGAGGTAGCAGATGGAGCTGGGGGCCAACAAAACTGCGAGCCAAAATGTTCGGCCCATCGCTCCAACCGTCGTTGAAGATTGGTGATTAAGGTGCCATTCGCCTCGCATATTGTTTCACTTATACCAGATCGAACACCTTCGGTGACTCGAAGGAGATGGAAGAGTTTCCTGGTATTACCAGAGAGACTAGCAAGCTCCATCTCCCTAGCACGTTCACACCACCAAGCTTCGCGGTCCATTTGCAGACTCCTGCGCAACTCTCGACCAAGGTATTGGCGTTCTTCAACGTGTCTCGAATCCGATGGGATCAAGCGGCGTTTGTCCATCAGCGACAAGGAGTCGGCGGAAATCCAATGTTTCGGTGGGTGACGGGTAACTCCACAAGTGTCGATACTGGCGGAAACTAACGCATCTTTGATATGCGCCCACTGCGAATCGAGATCACCGTCAATAGTTGAGCCAAGCAAAGTTGACAGTGAGGCTTGGTACCTGGTTAAAACCGCAGCGTTTTGTAGATTCGCGACGTCCGGTCGGTAGTGGGCGCGCTTAGGTGATCCTCCGAAACGCATGCAAATATTAGCACGAACCAATGCGTGATCAGAGTCTAAAAAAGTTGACCAGTACGATCGGCAGTCCGTTATGCTTCCGCGCCATCTGTAGCTGATTGCTATGTGGTCAAGCTGGGAGCACTCTTGCGTTTGTGAGGGCGGGCGCCAGGTAGCAGTCTGTCTCCTCGAGTGTCGAAAACTAGTGCTCGAAAGAAACAAGCGATGATCAGAACAAAGAGCAAGTAGTCTGTCTCCATTGTCTGATCGACTGCCACCGAGACCAAAACTACCCCCAATGTGGTGCTCGCTTGGTAGAAGGCGGCCAACCCGTGCGTTAAAGTCCCCGGCAAGAATGACTATATCCGTCCGTTTGGAGGAACGCAGAAGTTCATGTAGTTGTTGGTAAAAGCTATCTTTAACTGCATCCGGGCTGCAGTCTGTAGGGGCGTAGGCGGAGACGACAAATAAGGCACGCTTAACATCTCGACGCCTGCTTACGTTACATGAACCTCTTAGTCTGACTGCACATAGTCGACTGTTGACTGGGATCCAGTCAAGCAGAACTGATTCAGCCCTGGCACTTAATACAACCCCAACACCAGCTTGACCAGTGGCGGCAGATTCTGGGTCTTCGGAAAGCCGCAAGTAGTATTTGGAGTCGGAGTTTACCGGAGAGGCCATTCTGATAACGGCGCTAGAGTCTTGTAATCTGGTCTCTGAAAGACAACAGATGTCTACCGATAGCGTTTCAAGAGTACGGGCCAGACATGCTTGTCGTCCGATCTGCATCAAATTTCGAACTTTAAACGCTGCGAGGATGAATGGAGAACCAGGTCGGAGAAGAGCTGGAGCTTCGGTGGAGTGAGAGGCGGTTGCGATCGCAGGACATTGAGAACCGGGAGTTTGGCTGTTACTTCCATCAGCTGCGAGACGTGGGTCGTTTGTGACGGTGACCGTAGAAGACACAAGAGTACATGTAGGTGAAAGACGGGAGGTGGGGTGGTCTGTGAGTGGACGTTGAGCGGTTGAGTTAAGACAGAAGAGCGGCATAGCAGTAGTAGTAGTGAGCGGTGTAGTCCATGATCTTAAAACGAGTAACTGATTCGCCCACCCACCCCCACCGAAAGCAGGCCCAGGCTGCGCTACTCTCTGTGCAACCCAATGATGTTTAGTTTCGCTCATGTTTGGCATCAGGTTCGCCAGCGTCACTGGTGATCTTAAACAACACAGTTACTTCCGAGGATTTCACTAGTACATTGGAAAATCGTACTGACGCTTTGCTGCCACTCATTCATTAGCGCGCTTGTATGTTTGCTGGTGCAGTGCGAGGTTATCCTTGAACCACAATCTAACATCGTAATCTCTCCTCCATTCGTTAACCCAAGTACACTTATTTCTCGCTTCCGATGATTCCAACGTGTTGGTGCTCAACAATGACGCTATTTCACTTGCACACAACTACGCAACACCACTGTAATGGTTTTGGATATCGATCTGTTTGCATAGTGCATCTGGGGTCATTTTGCTGTTTGACAACCGCAAACAGGCGACAACAAAAAACCAACACTTGTCGCACTGTGCTATGTGGTTTACTGCGTCATACAATAATGAATGGCACCTTGGCCCATCAACCCATTTATTAAATAAATACATAAACTTTTTATTTTCGACAACGCGAGGCACACCTTCACAAGCATGATCATGTTAACATAACAAAGTGTGGTCAAAATGTACAAAAATACATTTTTTATATAAGTTAATGTGTGTGTGTGTGTGGGTGGGTGTACATACGTGCGTAATTGTTGTGTGTAGCTTGTGCTTGTGTGTCGCTTTTTGACTGTTTGATATGTGAGAATAAACGAAAGGTGTCCGTGTGTTGGATAGCATTATCCGGATATCCACGGGGGCAGTGACTTTAGTTTGTGGCGAGTCACGCGCCACGTCACAGTGTTGTTAAACAGACATGTGTGGCTTTTTATAGGGAGAACGCTTAACAGGCGAAAACCCACCACGTCCAGTTCTCCCTAAATGAATCAAGGCATTTGGTGCAGACGATGTCAGTTCAACGTTACCTCAAGACGATACTCAACATGGTGCCTTCGGGATGGCGGTGAACCACGATCATCACTGTTCAGCAAGTGGCGACGGACATCATTCGAAGACGGCCGAGACATTTCACTTTGTATGACTGGCCACACACCACACTGTGGTGCTTCACTCTGGTCCTCGTGAAAGCCGAATCCATGTAGACCACATCGACCTGCATATATTCCCTCATTATTTAATAGAATCACATCCACTAACGGTCTATTACGGTCGTTTTCCTTGACGTGAAAATTGTCTTCGGCTCATTAGGCTGCACGTGTCTGTACATCGTGTGCGGCACAATGTCCTCCGAGTTCCCCTACACTAGTCGGTGGTTACCAAGGCTTCCCTATACATCGTTCTCAACTGTTGCTAGTCTGAGACGGCAGACTGATTCCCGCTGTCGCGAGACAGCCACTGAAAATGTTCAGTCACTTTTCACTTCGCTGGATGGCCGCATCACCTCTGGTGGTCACTTCACCGACATTTATCTAGGACTTGTGTGGCCTTCCACAGCTGGAGTTATCTGTGAGGGCTGCGCGATACCGACTCATTTGTAAAGGGACAGACTATACAATGCTCAGTGTTCACCGGATACATTGTTGTTGGATCACCAGTGCTTGTGGGCCACCACCAGCAGATCTCCGGTGCCGCGCTGGACCGTGTTGACCTTGTCTCACCTATGCCGAGTGATCGTATGCATGCGCACCAAACGACTGTTCTAGGGTGCACTTTTGCCACTGACGCGTCACTGAGTACGGTCGCTGATTTGGCCGGCGTAAAAGTTAGTCAGGCCGGTGCATGTCATCTGCCTGGTCTGTGACCTCGAGATCGACCATAATGTTGGTGAATAGCAGCCTTACATAGTTCAGTCACAAAGGCGTTGGCACTGTAGCACGCCGTCTCGCTCCTTGATTTCGATTTCCTCGTATTCGATGATTTCGTATGTTCCTAATCTTCCTCGCGTTTACTCTGGCCTCTTGTTCCTTCTCCCTTCATGGCGGCGCTCATCATGCTAACCGGATCCATTGCTTCCTGATGATCAGGACGTAATTGAGTGATTGCAGCGAACTGCAAAGTGGGATTCAGGAACACTCGCTGAACTGAAACTGGTTTTCCGTACTCAGAATCATCAGTCACGCCATGAGTTGAGTTTCACTTGAGCGATGGTTAGCCGCGTACACTCCGCATGGTAATGCATGCGCTCGTTTTGCATTGGGACCAGCTGGGTGATCTCATAGTACACCGACAGAACACTTCTATATTTGAGGACAAACCTGGACCAGTAGCGACTAAAGGTACACTGTGATAACTGCTTACGTTGTACTCAATTAGCCACACCAAAAGCGGATTAGTTAAAATATCGCGAACCCGTGCCACACGTATGTAGCGATCAACAAACAGAGACGCTTTAATCTAATCGGCTGTTGTCAACAATTCAGCCCCCAACTCTTGATCCGATGGGACTCCCGGGGTTCTGTAATCCGCATTGAACCGTATCTTCCTGTGCGCCACTTTTTTTTCTGAATGCGCCGTTGTCAAATCCATAATATTTTCCGGACACTTGGCAAATATGAAAAGTATGGAAAGAACACGAAGACTGGTAGATGCATGCATTTTGTATTGTCTCCTCAGTACCATTAACAATAACCGGTATGCATAGGTTTGAGCCGTCTCTAGGTGAGCGGACGCCACACGTCTGAGGTTAGCCGCAGAGGGTGTGAGTTTGTTTCTACGCAACAGTAAGAGAACTGGACGAGGATAGCGACGCACGAAAATGCATTTCGATAGAAAGGATATCTCCACACGTAAGCACACCATCTTGCACCTCAGGCTGACTATGCGATGCAGCAACCTGACTGTTTCGGCGGGAATTCGTCGTTTCAGAAATTTAAAGCAGTTAGTTCCCTACAACAATTTAAAAAACACGGAAAGAAGACTAAGGCTGGTAGATGCATGCATTTCGTATTGTCTCTTCAGTACCATTAACAATAACCGATATGCATAGATACAGCTAACAGTGGGTGCAAATAATTGTTTCTGAACACACAAGGCTGGCCTCAGCCGGCCTATAGCGCCAGCTTCAGCAAACCGAAGGAAGCGGGGATTAGTGTAACGTAACACAACTATAAACGCTGAGCCCATCTCTATCCGGTGACCCGAGTCTAATAGGTATCAGCCTAAAACTGCCTTGGACGTAGGTGTGAAATTCCGTCATTCGTTCTGCACCTCAAGCTTGTCTGGTTGCACCCACTGTTAGCTATATCTATGCATTATTGTTAATGTTACTGAGGAGACAATACGAAATGCATGCATCTACCAGCCTTCGTCTTCTTTCCGTGCTTTTCAAATCGTTGAAGGGAATTAACTGCTTTAAACTTGGCAACTATGTCTGTTTACCAATCCCCTTCAGCACAAGTTCACTGCTGAGTAGGCGTTAGCAATGACATGGATGCCACCTCAGATACTATGTACCGACTGCCGCATAAAATCCAACGGCACATTACTTCTTGTTAGGATCACCTTACGTGCTAGCGCTCATTTGAATCCTGATTTTCTTGCACAGACGTGACAGCGACGCACCGATGTGTGTACGCAACTCTCCCTACATATTGTTGGCGATGTAGACCTTACCGAGGATTTGTTTGATCTATTTCCGGCATGTAGCTGTAAGCGTCACAAGCGTGCCTTGTAATTCTAGCTCGCTGGTCCAGGCCTGTGTACGGGACCAGGCAATCCTCGCAGTATCCTTAGCCTAACGTACAACTGTTGGTGTTTGCGCGGCAGCGAAGCGTCAATACTGCCTACCAGCGTACTTGCTGATGCCTTCCTATTACACGCATCTCATTTTACGTACCTATTGCATAAATCTCTTCTCGTGTTGTATTGCATTGTTACGTCATAGCGATTGTGTTCATTTGTTGGACATTGAGCCCCACAGTAAAGCTGTTGCATATATTTCGGTCACACTTCTGACCTGTAGGAGCAAGTATCGGCCTGCGAGATCACAGTGGTCGACTCCCCGGGGAATATCTACCCCCAACCAAAGCCGGGATGGAATTGAAAAGTACGCTTACATGTGTTGTAAATATGCCTTTTACTAATTTTCATGTTGGTTTTCCGTTCTGATTGTGCACAAACTGTGATTCCTCCAAAGCGACAGCACCGATTTTTCAACTTGTTCTCTTTGATTTCATCATTATTGCACTTCTATTTGAGTATTTTGTTAGGCGGTGAGATCAAAACCAATTGATTTTGCGTCCCTGTGGTCGTTCGTAGCAGTAGAACGCCGCTCTGAACGCTGCAGGTCGACTTCGGTCCGTCATCCGCGCGGCCACTGCGTAGGTTGTGTAACACCGCTTGGACGTCACAAATGTGTACACACACTTCACTGGACTGAATTCCATTGTATTGCCATCTGATCGTCTCACTTTCCCCTCCCAGTTTTTAAACAAAATGTTGCTCCTTTTGCATTGCTTTCCATACTATCCGCGTCGGTCAGTTATTCTCCAGTGGTAAATACGCCGTCTCCTGGATGACTTAGGTTATGTAAGTTTAGCTTGCTCTTTGTATCTGCATGTCATGTGTTGTGGCATGTGGTACTCGTGGTAACACAACTGACACCTGATCATTGTACTGATGAAATAGTCTACTTCCACACGCCTGAAGTAGAATGCCGCATGCGCGCTCCCACCCCATATTCCATCTTGCTTCTATAGCATGCCATAACTTCAAATAAGCTTCCTTCTAACTCATCACTTCTCTGTCATCCTCTTCAACACGCGCTCCTCCACGTTTCTACGGCCCTGTTATACGTGATGTTTGCTCGAAGGTTTTTATGACGATGTTGGATCACTTCCAAGATTGACATTCTGAAGTATTAAGATTGGGGGCACTATAACCTTATCCCCGTGTACTCTTTCTAGTTTGATGTAACACCATACGAATGTGGACACGATTACTATTCTCAGTCAGCTGATAGTCCTTGATGACGGTGACGAGGTGTAGTGCGATCGTGGCAGCGTTCCACCTAGGCAGGCCCCTTCATTACATCGTACTGGCGTTTCCCTCAATTTAACTAGGCTGCATCGGCCCCACAAGAGTTAAACTCTCAAAAACTGCACATGTCTCTGGCGCACGTGGAGCCTGCAGATTCCGACCCCTGCAACGACTCCCTGGTGTCACTACTACTGACTTGCCCATTGGAAACAGTTGTTGTGTTGGGACCTGTCCAGATTTGGGACAATCATGGTTCCCAAGCGCATGAGGCCTGATCGCATTCACTCTTGTTCGCACCGGATTATCGAGTGATATTGTACGACCCTCGGTTATAGCAATCATTCTATTGCATTTGCCTACGGCCATGGCGGCAAGCGACTCCGTGGACGGCTACCACCACACATGGCCGCGGGATATCAGCTTCTCAGTGAATGGTAGGGTGTATAACGCTGCGATAAGGCCAGTGTATGAATCGGAGACATAGCCAGCTCGCAGTGAAGACATTAAACGCTCGGCCATGTTTGACCATGGTGCGCATAGGTAAAGCAGCGGCTTCCGCATGGGGAGTTCAGCGAAATGTAGGGAACGATAAACCATGTTGACGATAGGGCAGGGTGTATAGTCATGGTCTCTCGTACCGGCCTTCGTACGACGCACCTCGTAAACTAGGAGTGAGACTAACACGTTGAACCCGTTCAATCTGCACCTCACTCAGTGTACTCGGACATATCATTGTAATTGGAATTAGCACCCATCCATTCTTAGTGTCTTTAGGTTACTGCGGTGTACCGGCCCCACAAATCTACGCACGGTACCTGAACGTGTGCTGAGCTTGTAACGTGTTATCCGCTCACATAATCTCCCTTGTACAATGAACCGTTATGCTGCATCGAATGGGACCAATCACGATGTTGTTCATTGTTCGCACACTCACCTGCGTTTTGTGGCGTGTTTAGCTGCCAGATCCTTATAAATCACATCAACATTTCGCGCTTTCGATTCCGTCTGCAGGACACTCGGCTGTTCACAACACGTTCCTCCGCGTTTGTACCGTACCTGATTTTGAAAACGCTTGCATTTTTTGACCGTTGCCGGAAGGCGACTTTACGATGTGTTAATTTCTCGTACTGCATTTTACCACAATCCCATCCCACCATACTTGTCAGGACTACTAGTTGATCCGAAGAAAATCATCTATGTGATGCGCAATTGTTTGCTTGAGGAATACACACACACACATCTTGCGCTAGATATTTTACCTATATTTGTACATATATTCAATGTAATTCTCCATTCGCAGCGAAAATGTGCCTACACAACTTAATAAATCCTGTTCCGATTTGATCGATCGAATCGCACATTGCGAGGTTGGCATATCTGTTCTCTGTGATTGATACCGGTGTGCGGCGATGCCTAGCTGATATCGGGTTTCGTTAAACTCGCTCTCGTGTTTTGACTCACTTACGATCAAAGTCCCTGAGTACTTGTTGTGGCTACAAGTGATCCGCAGTGGTTCAGACATCCGGCGTGCATCATGTGCATCCCGGATTCGTCTTGGAGTGTCCAAGCCAGCTTCCAACCGTTTACAGTTGCGTGGCAGCAATGAATTAGTGTGAGTCACTGATGTGCTGGTGGCACCCCATGTGATGTGACTATCATTTGAGCATTTAAATATGGCGTCGCGCCTATCGGCTTCCACCAATGGGTCCAGTGTTTCACCCCCCCCCCCTAAATCCAGCGGAAAACTCAGCTCGATGTATGCCCGAAATTGTGGTCCAATCTGAGGGGAATACACACAATTCTCCTTAGTGGTGAAGCCATCCACGTCGCTCTTACACCGCATACTATGATGCAGTGCGTCGGAACTATTGTCAGCTTGAAGTAGATAGCTAGTCATCAAATCAGTGGGTTTGTTTAGGCCTTCCCGTGCTCTCAGTCTCCCGATAACTTACCCTCTATCTTCCGACGTATGCACAGATCCCTAACCGACTGCGATTCCCCAGAGTAATCCACTAGTTCTAATTTGAATGACCCTCCCGGTGTTTACAACTCTGTGTGGGTTTGTGTGGTTTAAAATTCGAATACTTCTTTCACTTGCTTTCCTCGACGCCAGTCAATAAAATTCCGCAAATGTTTTGTGCCTCGCAGAATTTTTCATGGATGGAACCTCACTATTGTTAACGAGGAGCACTGGAAAAAAACGTGAGTTTGGTCGATAATTGTCATTTGTATATATATTGAACGACTGATTTAGTGGAAGTGCTGAATTACGGCTGACAAACGCTTACAAACCAACCATCGTATGCGAGCGAGACCCTATGAGTCCATCTTCTTAAAGAGGATGGAAACTGGAATTGAATTTTGGATATGAGCCTACTATATTGCTCATCCGACCCCTGCTTTTCAATTGCGCATTAAGGCCATTTTCTGTAGTTGCAATGATGATCCGGCTTTCTGCGCCATCTGCGTAGGACGACTCCAGATCGGAGTAGTTTTAATTATGCGGAAAAGGCACACTGTGCGACAGTTTCTTCAGCCACCTGACGGGGCGTGATTTCTGCTGGAAGAAATTGCCTCTTTGCAATGCGTGCGTTCATCAACAATATCACATGATGGCTTTTTGCTACTGCAATTAGCCGCTCGTCTTCAACTATCGGGTCTTCCATTGAACGACTCCGACGTCCCTTCCATGTTTCCAACTGGACAAGCAATATGCTTCTGTCTTCCCCGGCTGTTCATTTTTAAATGCCGTTGGGATGCGAGCTAAAGTGGACATGTTCAGTGTCATTCGATGTTCACAATAGTCGTCTAGACGATCTGAGCTAATCCGTCTTAGAGGCTACGACTGCGTTTGTTGTGTACGCAAAACCAGGCGTTTCGACCCTTAAAGGGCGAAACGACCAGTCGGAAGCAAGGATGTGCATTTTTCGTCCCATGACTGCTCACTGAGTGTGAGCTATTGCATGACAAGGACCATTCATATCGGCAGCAGAAAGCTTGACGGAAATGACACGACCCATGTACTCGCGGCCATATCTCCTGTTCTCCAACAGACTACGTCTTCTTGCAACTCTTTCTTCAAGTCAGCTAGCGATTCGACGCATTTTCGTGCATTACAAAACTACGCCTGGTCTCGGGACAACAAAGTCCTCATGTATTGCTTGCGTGCCCATTGTGATGGGTTAAGTATTTCGTCAGTCGCGGCCGGACGTTCCTTCCCGACTGAGCCATAGATCTACCCAAAGAGCAGATACTTATGTGGATAGAGGATTCTCGTTATTGTTGGGCACCAATTGTCGAATCGTCCCACCATGTGGCCATCTCGATCCCTCTAGATAAAAATCCCTTAGATTATAGTTGTTCCCGACGATACAGCCATATATCGCCTTCGAATCCTGTCAGTAACCGATAATAGCAACCGGTCGCCAGTCTAGGTGGGTTAGGTCGTCACATGCGATTATTGAACTCTGCGGTACGATTCAGTTTCACATAGAAATAACGTTTCGTACTGGAAAAGTTTGGTTTCCTCAATACAACTTGCGCGCTGAACATGCTACTTTCGCATGTAGCTATCATGTTGCCTTAATCAAATGAAGTATCAAAATTTCCGGGCGTGAATCACCAGGCCAGCTTACAGCTGCATCAAACTGCAACTCAATGGACGCCCAGTGAAACGGTAGGCCCACTTCACAGAGTTCAGACAGCTCCCCGAACACTAAACTACCCACTTTTCACCATCCGGCCCCGTTCATGCTCGTGATACCTGTTGTCTTGTAGACTGCATGTGACCATAATAACATTATAATATCAGTGGGTTGAAAAAAGTTGCTTTTGGTCTCCCGACAGTTCTATTCTAAAGCTCCATTGGAGAAAAATGTTCGATAAATGAGACACCAGAGACAGATGGCCTCTGAGGATCACGTTTATACGAAACAAGTTGGATACGATTGTTCATGATTCATATCTCCACTGCTACGCTTATACAATTATCCGACATCTCAGAGAAAACTACGGTTTGTATATTCGCCAATGTTTTTCAACTTCAAGAATACTAAAGAATGAAGCTGATAGATATTGGCTGTTGTCTGTCCGAAAACACCGCAGCAACACCTAATATCTATCTGCTTCAGCAATTACGATCCGAGTGATCAAACTGACCAAGGTCCACTTCAATGCAAATCGCGGTTCACATGGGATTGCGCATTGCAATCTATCCACACAACGAATACTTCAAAATGACCCTCCAAGTGATACTAAAGAAATACGTATCAACCTCTCCTTTCACATTGTAGTGTTCGAGTTGCTTTTGCCAAGGAGCTCTCCTAATGGACCACCGGATGAGCGAAGGTCGCGATCTCGATCACCAGTCGTCCGTGAGGTGCGAAATTCGAGTCTCCCTAGTCCCAACGCACCTACAAGCGCGCAATTCCCCTGGCATCATGATCATCGGGAGTCGATGGACGCCTCTCACTCGAGCCGAGACAGCTCATTGACTCGCCTCACCCAATGTGTTCATCCATCTCGCTCACGAGACAGATCGAAAGAGAAACCCAAGAAACTGGTTCCGCATACAGTGAGCACGATAGCTGCACTGGCGGGCGCCAGTCTGCGTCATCGGCAGTCCGCTGGCAAAGCAAGGTCGACGCACGCAACAGTGTCAGGTGCGATCCTGGCAGAGGATATCTATGCCAGCGTTCGAATGAAGAAGGAGTTCACGCGAGTGAAATATAGTCCGCTTAATACGGAACAGAAACAGACTGGGGTTAGTTTGACCAATATCCTCGCTTGTTTGGAATCTATTTTGCTATCCACTTCGTGCGTTGTCATGTTAAGTTCCAAACGATCATATGCATTCGCGTGGAGGTACTAACCATCCAAGTTAGCTGTCCATCATTGTTGATGCTATACTTCCGTCATAATCGGCCCTACAGGTTTTAAAAGTGGTAGAAAAATACAACTAGTTATTTAGTTTCGTCCATTAGCGGTGAATTATTTTCAAATTGTTGGCGCCTCGAGTAATTCACGACCTAGTAGTGTAAGATAGGCGGGTGCGAAGCTTCACACCTCGGCTTTTTTGATGCCACAGGCTGTCTCGGGAAACCCTCGATAATCTACTACTACGGTCCCTGACTAGTGCTGAATGTCCGGTATCCGGATTCCTCTATTTTGCCACTTGTTAGATGCATTTCAATCTAATGTGGGATCGGAGTGAGTTGGAAATTAGAGGTATGACTTTAATTAGTGTGAAAGAAAGTTTTCCAATGAAAAAAAAGTTGAATAAAAAATAGGCAAAAGGACTGCAAGGCATCCACCTCCACTTGAGGCACTGAATGTGCCACAGCTACTACTGAAACAAGCACACATTACCTTTCGATGGTTTATGGATCCAGATCTAAATTACCCCGCCAACTGCTGACTCGGCTGACAGCACGAAGGTCTTGCGGCTCTAGAAACTGAATGATCCCGTATGTAAAGAGCGAACAAAAATATGATGTCTAATATGCAAAGACGAAAGTAAGATCGTTAGACGCATCTCAACGGGTCACAAAGTTGGACAGATCGTCGCAACAACGCCCATCTTTATCAAACTGTGTCTTGGCCTTACATTCGTATGGCATCATTTCAGACGCTGAGAACCGGTTCTAAACACACCTGCTCCAACACAAATATATAAAAAGGCGGGATAATATGATAGAATACAAAACAAAAAGTGAGAAAACATCCGGGTGTAGACACTTTTTTCAGTGAATCGCATCAGGAATAAAGTGAGCAAAATGCATCAAACTTCATAGGTAATATCACGCTTTATATCACATTATGTGTGTGAGACCTTGGTTAGAGGAGAAACTAAACGGGAAACAGGACATGCCGTTGAGATCGGCTCTTCTTCATCTCAACAAGTGTATCCAACAAAACGCGTTCATCGTCCTCCGGACTGCAGTCCGGCAGTCGGGTGATCCACACCGATGCCAATTTTCTCTCTTTCCGATCGTACCCCGGTCGCACAAACAACGCACGCCTCGGAAGTCGGTGTGCTGGCATGCGGAACATGTGACCCAGCCATCGGAGCCTGGTACGTGATACGACAGTGCTGAGTCGTTGACTCGCTCCCTGCAGGACGATGAACACGCGCATTGCTCACGCGATAGGAATCTCCTTGAACACACCAACGTTCCCCTTTTTCATCGTCGATGTTCTCATTAAATCTTATTGCAGTATACTCTCCCATCTCCCTTTTCTAGGCGCCTCTCTTGTTTCAGTCTCATGTGTAACAACCAACATCCGGAGTAGTCTTGAACAAGGCAACCATCACGTGTTATTGAAAAAATTATACACACTTTATACACCTATGTTAAACTCATTTTCCTATTATCGAAAACATGTTTTTAAGAATTCCACATTGATATGCTCAAGCAGTTTACCAATACCGATAGAGGCATCTTTTGCAGCACCAGGTAATACATGGATACAACAATCAATAATTGTGCTCTTCCAAATCGAAAACCGATTTGCAATATGGTTGTACATTTTTCAATTATTCGATGTTGTAAAATCAGAAAATGCTTTTAATTATTTGAACATGCCGCAACAGGCGTATTTCGTTGAAAACGAGAACATACAATTTATTTATTTAATAAATGGTGAATGTGCTTTGCAGACTGCGATTTGGTCATGGCACTTTCAAAAGCTTGGTTAGTTAATCCCCATGATCGAGGATCGGCATTCACTTATGATCTAAAACCAAATGCCGCTTTTGTTGACTGGCACCCAGATCAAATCGAAGATTACTACTTCTGTGTTCTCAGTCTTGTCTTTGTTTGTCGTCTACGGAGTTTGTTTCTAAAGTGCCTGCTAGCAGACTTGTTAAAAGCCATTGCTCTTTTCCATATTTGATTTCCCATAGAATTCAGACAATTCCAATAGAAGCCCTATCTCCAAACGCTCGATGGCTGCAGGACGACGCCATCAGCAACTTCCATCATTCGGATCCAGTTTGCTGAATGGAAGTGATTCCTCATCGTCAAACCAGCTGGTAGCGGACGACAGAAACTCTAGTGTGTCACTAAACGACGCGCAAAGCGAGTCTTCGGGTTCGAAAACTCCTACAAATGCACCATAACCCCCCCCCCGTCGCAGATAAGCGCTCATTAATTTTTGTGCATAACTACTGCGCCGCCAAACGCCACTGTTTAACACACTGTGATCATGAAATAAATTTTTTATTGACTTTTATCAACATGCTGGAATAGACGTTCCAGGAATAATAATCATCTTTTAGTTCGGTTCTTCTTTCTTACATTTAGTTGAGGAGTGTTGTTCCACGGCCGAAAAGGTAGATTCCGAGGCCGATCGCTTCGCTTCCGATGGACCCTCTTCTTCTTCTTCTTCTTTCAGACTTAGCCTTGCGTTTGAAAAATGCAGTCATTATGTTCTGCGATCCCAGCGGTCCAGCAGATTTTCTAGAGAGTAAAAAAAAAACCAGAAAATGAACTGTGAAAAACTGATTTGCTGATTCCAACATTGCACATCTTTCATAAACTAGTGTCAACATGCTCTCGCATTCGCTTTCACTTCAGGTGAACAGTGCCTCTAACGAAACCGACCAAGTGGCCGTTAGCATCCGATATCGCAGCCTGATGACGCAATGAGTAATAATTGTCGTGTAACCGTCATTTAAGTTGTTCTAGCAGACCGCGATCGAAGCTCAGCTATTCAATTCGTTGCATCGTTTCACCAAATGTTTGCGTCGGCGACGCTTGAAGCTGCGTAGCGTACGTCGTGTGACATGTTGCACTTGTAGAGCCAAACTCATGGACTGTTCGCGACGTGAGATCACGTGATCGCCTTGCCACCAACTGCACTGGTACGCTAACAGCGGTGAAAACTCCATAGGCACACCAAGTTGAGTGGAAGCGTTTAGTGCAAACAGCTTGCTCTGCTCCGAATGTCACAAATTGGCGTACGCGGCACTCGGCGGAGGTGAGGAATATAATATTCAAGACGTGGAGAGACGCGACTGGAAGCATGTTGCACACACTGAACGTAAACCTGATTACCTGTCGCAGTTGGACAGATTGTCGGTGAGGCGATCACGTGATTTCGCATCGCGAACACAGTCCAGATGGCCCCTACGAGTGCACACGTGCAACGTGTCACATGACGCAAGCGATACAGCTTCAAGCGTCACCGATGCAAACATTTGGGGGAACAACGAATTAGATGAGTGCTGGTACAGGAGACAACCACGCACTGGATCGCATGACAAAACAGTTCGATATATCATCATTCCAGCGTCAGAAATTCCAAAGCGCACATCCGCATCCACACATTTGTTATTCATGGAATATGGATGCACTCACTTAACTTCGTCGACGTCATCCAAGGGTGCGATGCAAGCGGGTCCATCAAATTTGGTTGAATTCATACGTACGGTCACTGGGTGCATGCAGATGGGCGCATACCTCAGGGTATTGGCCAAATGTAGCAGGAATTTGTAAGACTGTTGCGTAGGAACGGAATAGATTAGTAATGTGTAAATTCGGATGAAACGCCGTTCAAAATGAGCAATTGCCGCAAGCGCAGCAGCTGTTAAAAGTGCAAATGGGACCGATAGTGTGGGAAATAGATGGAGATCGTAAGCACAACTGGCGGCGTGGCCCACAGACATTTTATTGTTATACTCGGTAGTTCGGTCTACCTAGGTTCAACATTGCAACTTATTTGTGTCGCATGTCTGATTGGGCGACATCTGGTTAAAGTGAAACCAGCTGGAAACGCTAGCTCATTCTTCTGTGGTGAAGCTGAGTGCGGGTGAACGGCACGACAGCGAATTACAGGGAATGCTCAGGTAAGGGGCAATGCGCCATTGGAGTTTGCTATCCCCTTCTACTGCCGCGGCTAGCATCGATGTTGGTTGAATTCACGCTTCCACTCTCCTAGTGACAAATGATAGGAACCCTTAAAAAATAAAGCCACACCGACGATCCACTAAACCGCGACCACCGCAAATCGCACGCAGATTAGAAACACTACGAAGTCGCTCGCGCCCACGCAGATTCACACCATCGATCTTTGGGTCACAAGGTAGACACTTCGTTCTCAAATTCTTGACATCGATTACGTCTTAGTTGCATGCACCTAAACACATGGGCCTGTTAACTGCTCTGCACATTATCTGTTCGCGGGTCAGTACCAAGGCACCCAGTGGCATGTCGGGCCAACAGGTCATATGACACTTGACCAGAAACAATGACGATGTGGATAATGGGAAAGCTGGAACGTCAAAGAGCGACTATAGTATAGTTGTAAGCTAGCTTAGTGGTATCGATTTCTCCCTGGGCTATTGAAGTGGTCTGCTTCGGATATCGGCACTGAAAATGGTGAGTCACAGTGGGCGAGAAACATGGGGGGGGGTGGAATAGTAGTGGGCTGATACTCTTCGATCTCCTATTGTTAAAGCTTCCAATTTCCGTGTTTTCGGGTAAGCTTCTTTTGTTTAGTGTAAATGTTCGCTCGGCAGACTTCACATATTTTAGTCCAGTCGTGTTTCCCAAATATATAGATATATATATTTGCAAAAGTCTGCTAATAGACAGAATGCCATCAGAAACCATGGGATTCAAACGAAGGTACAGAAACAGTAAAATAAAACACGACACAACAATGTCCATGGTTTCCTCAGAGGGCGAGATACTACCCGGTTGCCCAAGCCGAAGTAGGGTGTTGATTTAGGGGACACCACCCCGAGCCTTTGGCTGAATAGCCTGCCCGCAAGGCAGCGGAGCGAATTCAGGGAATCGGGCCCATTGGGAACCGGTGACTGATTGCTCAGTTCATACGCCTTTCGTTTGTTCTTTTGTCAAACAGGGGCCCAATGCTCCCCAGAAGTACAGCATGACGTTACTGGAATACAATGCTTCGCCAGGATGAAGCAAGGGGCAGTGACTTTATTTAGTGGCGAGTCACGTCCGCCACGTCACAGTGTTGTTAAACAGACATATGTTTCCCAAAAGAAATTTCCAAATCGAGACGGCTATCACCAACGATTAGGTTTAAATTGCGTAGGTCTGGAGCAGTCAGTGCGCGTGTTCTGATCACGATGAAGACCGGGTACGGTTGCAGGGGTTAGTATGGTCAGAGGCCCGGCTAATGATAGAGAGCTGAAATGTAACCTATGCTCCTTCACACACACACATGTTGTAGTCCATCAGGCTCCGTGGGCTGTCCCTTTGGATCCACCCTCTCGCTCAGAAGTCGAACGTGAGATGGGACTGTTGAAGTTGAACAAAGCCGCGGGACCAGATGATCTTCCTCCAGCTCTCTTCAAATTCGGAGGCTCTGCTCTTGTTGATGCTTTACATGAATTACTAGTGAAACTGTGGGCGCAGGAGACTGTCCCAACCGACTGGAGCCGCTCCGTTATTGCTCCCATCTTCAAAGGCGGCTCGCGCTCGGAATGCGGCAACCACAGAGGAATCAGTCTGATCTCTATCGCCTCCATAATTCTTCACAGACTGACTGGCGCTCGTGAAAGCCAGGTTCGTGAGGAGCAAGCCCGATTTCGTCGGGGTCGTGGCTGCATCGATCACATCTTCACCTTGCGTCAGTTGTTGGAGCACCGTCACACATATTGGCGACCCGCCGTAGTCGTGCTCCTCGACATCAAAGGTGCCTTCGATTCGGTTGATCGATGTGCCCTTTGGAATTGTCTACTCAGGAAAGGTGTGCCCGAGAAATATGTAAATATTATCCAAGCATTATATGCGCGTAGCACGGGCAGAGGGCTTACGGCAAGCTGTCGCCACCCTTCAATATCTCCAGCGGTGTGAGACAAGGATGCCCGCTGTCACCTTTCCTCTTCAACTTCGCTATTGACGAAGTCATGGAGGTTGCATTTACAGGACATGACTTGGAAGGTGTGGAGCTACTCCCAGGAGAACGACTTCTTGACTTAGAGTATGCAGACGACATTGCCCTCATCTGTGACAGCTCCCAGACGTGCCAAGCTGCGCTGGACAGATTAGCACTGGCTGTCAGTCGCTTTGGGCTTTGCTTTGCACCATTGAAGTGCAAAGCGTTCCTCCAACATCGGCAGGGATCGCCTCCTGCGCTGACCCTTGGTGGGAATCAGCTAGAAGTCGTTCAGAAGTTCAATTACTTGGGAAGTTGTATCAGCGCCCTTGGAATCGAAGAGGAGATCACGAACCGGATAGCGAAAGCTCGAAGTGCTTTTACTAACCTTCGCCACCTATGGCGGCGGCGCGACATTACTCTCGCTTTGAAGGGTAGAGTGTACAATGCAGCGGTACGTTCCACCCTACTGTACGGTTGCGAAACCTGACCCCTAAGTTCGGCGGACATAAAGAGGCTAGTTACGTTCGACCATCGGTGCCTTCGCAGTTTGGCTCACATCTGGTGGGAACACCGCGTGAGTAACGAGCGTGTTCGACGCCCTGTTTACGGCACAGGAAAAGGGAATGAACCGCTCAGCACCGTTATTTCCCGCACCAGACTCCGATGGCTGGGCCACGTGCTGCGCATGCCAGCCCAACGACTCCCTCGACGTGCGTTGTTTGCTCACCTGGGATGTGGATGGAAGAAGAGGAGGGGTGACCAAGCGATGACTTGGTCCAGAGGAATGAAGTCCCTCACTTCGGAGCTAGCCTCGGTTGGAGCTTCACGGCTCCCTGGTTGGGGTCCAAAAGACGGTGAACACGTTCGGCTGGATACACTTGCTGACATGGCAAGGAGCCGACCTCAGTGGCGTTCCTGTTGTGAGTTTCTTTGTCTCTCCCCATTCCTTTTAGCCTCCCCCTCCATCCACGATCTCATTTCATAGTGTAAAACATAATAATTTTTCTTTTTGCCTAGTAGCCGGCTGGTAGCTTACCGGAACGATGCCTATCCGTTGCTGGTAGCTCAGCTGGCATGCAACTGTCGTATTTATTTTTCCTTTATGCATTGTATGTATGTATTTCCTTTATGTATTGCGGTACAATAGCGGATGTGTTTCACCACCTCTAGCTGACATGTATAATGATGATGATGATGAGGCTCGACCACACGACATAGACCTCATTACTGATCCACCTTGGTTGAGCAATCGCTTGAACAGTGTTGTTATTAGGCGGAAACGGTTGGAACATTGAAGCACATGGACTATCGTATTTTGTCAAGTCCGGTTCGGCAGTGTAGATGATGCGTCTGGAGGACGCGAGCACTGAAGTGCGCTGGATCCAGCTGCCAAGGCTATCGTCACCAGGGTGACAATAATTAAGAGTTGAGCAATGGAGATAGTACACAAGGAAATTAAGAAAGTGATTTAAAGTAATTATGATGTTACAGTGAGAGTTGGGAGCAAGACGAGCACCAGTGACTCCGGTAGGGTCTCGCATCGGCAATCACATACTCTTGCACACGCCGAAGCGTGTTCGGTTGACTGTAAGTCACAATCCCGCTAGTGGTGCCTAAAACTAGTGCGGTCGACCTGCATTTACAATCAGATCGATAGGGCTAGATTCTTTCAAACGCAAACACTGAAATCCACGAACAAAAATCGCGCAAATTAGTCCAATTAACAGGCAACTCAGTGGTCCGTGAGTGTTAAAGAGCGGCGCTAAACACTCAGCATCATTCGTACACCTGAGTTCACCGATGATGTAGGTAATTCGCATGCGACGCATCAAATACGCCCCATGATGACCATGGAAGGAGACGCGCATACCAGTATCATTGCTCCGATTGCTGAATGTCGTCATTCACGACACGGGAAATTGCATTCAGGCACAGTCTACTTGACTATCGGCTCTGTAAACAGTTGTGTTTAGACTACTGCATTTAAACTCGTGTATAGATTATTTTTGCATGAGAAGTATCCGCCGTGGTAGCAAGGGCTGGTCAATTACCAAGGCAGTGCGCATCAAATCACGTTGAAACACGCCAAAAATGGTAATATTATCATTAAAAAATGATTTAATAAAAGTGATGTGCAGTTGAAATTGTCAGGCGAGATACTTGGAGGCAAGAAACGGGCGTAAGAGCGCCACGAATTTTGTGAATATGTCAATACCGATATAGTGTCCAATCACCGACGTGGTCGATCGGGCAGTCCCCATTCAGCAAAGCAACGAACACCAACTCAACTTGGCATTCCAGTGAGCTCCTTGTTGCCCTTCCGCCAAGCCACTGACTGATCATCGAGGAGGGGGGGGTCCGTCCAATCAGGCGCACCGGTAGTAAACGACAACAGAACGTTAAAGATCTAACAGGAACCATCAACAATACGCTGTGCAACATGAACAGGGGGAACTGACCTCAGTTACGCCCATTGACGAGGAATCCAACCACGTGAATACTTCTTCATCTGTGGATAAGATAACCTGTGAGATAAAAGTCCCTGCGCGCTTGAACCTACAGGCATCCTGTGGTGGATGGTGGCGACGACACCCGCGGAGTCTGCAGTTATGACGGAGTAGGAATACAACTAGAAACGCCTCAGCATTTACAAGTAGTGCAAACCTACATCTTTGCTTTTGTTGTAAGCGAACACTCCAGCCATCATGAGTAGCTTCTCCGGATCTGGGGGAAAATGATGTGTGGAATCGTACGGAATTTACCGGATGGGTAGATGAAATACGGCTGTTTCCGTCCCTTCTCCGCCTTCCATTCGTAAAAACTGGATGGTATAGAGTGGTAGCACTTGCTTAGAAACATTAAATAGTGAGAACCAAGCAAATAAACCGTGGAAAACAGTCTTCTCAGGGCTTTTGAGATGCAAGGCCCTGGAAGGCACGTGATAAGCCTTACCTGCGGATTGGCTCAATATACTTCGTTTCTAGGTCAAATATATAACCAACACGTCACCCGAATTAGCGTGACGAGTTGCACATTTATGTAGAATACGCTCAGTGTGGGGACACGGGTCGTGACCTGAGATGTTATCCATTTTGCACATGAATTACTAGGTCATGAAGCCATGTAGACTGACTGTGAGGTTTTGTGATGACTTCCATTTGTTCCGCTGAACTAATACCCTTGTATGGAGAGCGCGTGATTCTGATCTGTCACCACGTGTTCGTAATGAAGAGAATCGTGTTTTCCCCAGAGTTCGCTGTCGGCTACCAATGCTAGGGGTAATGAAGCCCAGGGGAGCAGAATCGCCCTGCCACAAACAGCGACTATACGCTAAGGTGTAATGACGAGGTGACGTCTAGATTCAATTTATCAAACACGAGTATCGCACCGACGTGCGGCGGATCGCGTGGCGAAGCTTTGTATCGTCATGAACAAATGCGTTATGAAAGCAAAGCAAAAACAAAATAATGGTAAAATGCTAGAAATGTAACGTAGACTTTAAGAATAAATGGCTAGACTGTCAGATTTGCGTGTTGGCTTAGAGGCGAGAGACCAGATGTAACAGTGCTGATTGGGAAAAGACTCGAAGCGACCAAATGGTTAAGTAGACAGCCCGGAAAACAAAAGCTGAAAGTCGGAGTCGAGCAGGCACGTGCTATCTCCCTGAAAGAGGAACACCAGTTCGGCCGCATTCGTGGCTGAAAACTATCTGACCTGACTGGATGAAGGATATCAAGCTTGTGAAGCGAACCGGAGAATGCATACTGAAATGTTCTAGTTAGTATTTGGAATATGACCCGAACGAATGCCACCAAAAGCGGAAGAGACTGTTGGCCTGCAGGGACCCCCGCATAATGTGACAGTGGCTGTGTAGGTTTGTGAAGGCCAAAGTGCAAGGATATCGAACAGTTGCTTAAGGTCTGCGACAGTCAGTGGTCATGTCCTTGTCTAGCACGGTAAGAGCTGCCATTGAATACCTTGGCCTTGGTAAACAAAATGGTACCCATCATATTTAGAAAAGAATAAGGCTGAAAAGTCATGTGCACACAACCGATGCACACAGTTATTGCTTCAGTGACCTGACTATTGAAGTTATAGCTGCCACGAAAAGTGAACTCATAGATAATCTCCAGTTTTTATTGGGTAAGTGCAAGAAGGTTTTGAGGCTTAACTCCTCCCCGCAATATCTGTGTGAACATTTAAGCGTGCAGCACTAGAAGCATTTGCAAAGGGTCCGCATTGGAGATCAAGATATCTATATCACCCGCCTACTTAGAATCCCTCAGTTGCAGAGGTTCCACTCCAGACGAGGAGGCCAGAACACATTTGATAATGATTATTTCCAATGCGAAACTGCGGAAAACTCAGGAGAAGTCGGACTAACAATCACGATCAGGAGCAGCGGCGTCAGTAACAACAACGGTGCAGCGGTAAATTCGATTAAGGGCCTCTTGGAAATGGAACCACGATGGCCTTAGTGGTGAGAATCAATACCAGTCGACCACAAGAGAGTTGGCAACACTGTAATCATCGAGGCGATTAGAGAGTTTGGGCATGTTGCCTCGCGTCAACAACACAAATGGCTTCATGTTTGAAATAGTGACACCAATCACAATGCACAATCCGATTCCAGACAATGTGCCATCACAGTCACTAAGTGCAGGTGAGATCGTAAGCTCCTGGTGCTATTTTGACAACTAATTCCTGTGCTCCAGGTGAGACGAAACGGTGTGCTCAGCTACCTCCAATGACGCCTCCGACTAACCTCGTGGTCCTTCAAGACGTTACGGATTAATCTGGAAGTTACTACTGGATGGAACAATCTCCGGCACTTCGTCTGATACATTCGAGAATTCGGAGACCTAGACAACGCTCGGAATGAGCAATCCGGATAAGCAATTTTAAAGAGCATTATCCCAACATTACGCTGGCGGTAATTTCATTCAAATTAGCGTTTGAGTCATCTATGTTGTTCCCGATTCGGTTTGACGTTAACCACTGGCAACCCAAGCGACCAGTAAGCAATCTGAAAGCTGGACACTGCCATGCAGTCAAAAGTTCAACCGCTATGAAACAAAGGAATAAATCGCTATCGGAATGTGTTTAGCGTTTGAGATCAAACCACAATGCATTCAGGTGCATCTATCATCATCACCAGCAACACAACTCACAGTGTACGCATCCCTGTAACGATTACAAGTGTAGCAATGAGAATAGGCGAAAGGGGATTTAGCGTAAAACGTAAATGATTTAAGCAAACATTGATGGTCAACGCGCGCCAATAGATAATCAGTAACACACGAGCGAAAACTGCTGTCTTTCGTGTGGTATCGGCAAAACAGCTTCTATGCCCTTTGTCGTGATCAGCCATCAACCAGCAAATAAATCAGCATCAGACGCGCTTAGGTGTTAAGATAACAAACGCGCCATTAGTGTCTGCTACGTGCCACGTTTTGCAGCATCCTGAACTAAGGAAGACGCGGGTCTCCCACTGATCCCAGTTTGGAAAGTGAGAAGCATCCACAGCGTCAAGCTTACTCATTAACGATTTCATTTCTCGCTGCTAAATCAAATTTTGTTCCCACTGTTGGGTCGTGTGCCATTCCACAATTCGATAAACTAAACAAGGCCCTCCCCAACTAGCGATGAGCGAACACATAGGACACACGCCCAAACCAATGCAACTTGTTCGTAGGTATTTGTGGCCCCAGAGAACTAACCCAGCCATTGCCGCGTAGTACCCATTGGCCACCACAGCCAAGTTGAGTCTAAAGGGATAAACACTTGTTCGATGAGCGTGACTCATATTGCGAAAGTGGTCATGGTGAAGCTAGATAAAGTAATGGCTGTACAGGCGATGCACTTATTCCCAAAGCAACAACAATACCCATATTTTAGCACACTAAGAAGGAATGAAAATCACCGATAGAATTTCCTTCCGATGGCCTCCGAATCGAAGTCTAGGAGATGGATATCAAAACAATGAGACTAAGTCGCGTCTTGAGACTGATTCGAATCCGAACTACAATCATACACTGTAATTCACTGGGATACTTTCAAGGATACAGCCTATAGGTCCTCAGCCAAAACATGCAACACCGATAACGTAGATATTTCTAGCCTTCCGTTTCGTATCACCAGAAGGCAAGAAGAAAAGCCGTCACTACGCGAACCCGGGTCATGCAATCACGGAAATCTCGTGCTGTTTCCTTTATGAGCATCATACTTTTAGCGAATAGGGCAAAATGAAGCTAGCGGAGTCTGCTGATCGAACCATCATCATTCGATACGTTCAGTATAGATGAGAAGTGGCGCTGTGGTGTCGCAAACTAAAGCAAGCGATGGATGATCAATTAGGCATGCAGAATGATAGGTGAAATTTACCCCTGTACAACAATCACACATCGCTTTCCTTCGCGTAAAGAACTTCCGTATGTGGGTTTCTCGAGTAGGGACTCGATACGAGCGTTGGTTGTGGTGTAGCCGGAATATGAATCATCGCGAGCAAATGAAGGCACCAAGCCCCATCGCATCGGCTGAATCACTACACAGGAGGAAGAATCCACCAGTTTTCCAACACAGAGAACAGGACTGTAATGAGATAGAAAAAGGTAGCGGTTAAAATGTAAATGAATTAAACAATGAAAACGGGAGAATGTATGCAGTCCAAATGTCTACTTGCCTTAAAATAAGAGGCTGCTAGCGACCACACTAGATGAGAGTTCCCTTCAAAAGTCAGGTCAAAAAGCACGAACACTAAGAATGACAAATGTGAAACAAAGTCGTATGGACCAGCCACGCCAACTCATGCACAATTAGCAGAACTGAAAAGTCGTGTACTTCAAATTGACTTTCCAATCTGTCATTAACCGTTGCGCCAAGCTTTGCCCGTCGTGACCCGGTGGCTTAGGGGTAGCGGTCACAACTGACATCCCAATGGTCCCGGGTTCGATGCCTGCTATCTCTATCTGATGAGAGGAAATAACCTCGAAACGCGTCATGGAGTGCAGTGTTTTCAGGTGGGTAACACCCAATTTGCTGCTGCTTCATCAGCTACGGTCCTAGTGATCGAATGGCCAAGGTTCACTTCAATGGGAATCGCGGTCCACTTTGAGATTGCGCGTCGCAATCCTTCCACACAACGTGTACTTCAAATTGACTTTCCAATCTGTCATTAACCGTTGTGCCAAGCTTTGCCCGTCGTGACCCGGTGGCTTAGGGGTAGCGGTCACAACTAACATCCCAATGGTCCCGGGTTCGATGCCTGCTATCTCTATCTGATGAGAGGAAATAACCTCGAAACGCGTCATGGAGTGCAGTGTTTTCAGGCGGGCAACACCCAATTTGCTGCTGCTTCATCAGCTACGGTCCTAGTGATCGAATGGCCAAGGTTCACTTCAATGGGAATCGCGGTCCACTTTAAGATTGCGCGTCGCAATCCTTCCACACAACGTGTACTACAAATTGACTTTCCAATATTCGATGATAGTTGCACCATATGATTAATGGCATTTGGCTTCATAGTGGTTCTTAGCAATGGTGGAACCCGAATCGCACCAAGGCGCCCTATTAGGCACAAACGACTCGCTGTGTTTAGCCGAGTACCCAGCAGTAGCTAAAGAGTACTGAGTCAGGAAATAATACCCCGAGAAAACATTATAAGTAGAAAGTAGCGAACAAGCTTGTTTGCAGTGGACCATCATCAGGCTGATACAACCACAACTATGTAGGTCAAAATTTAAAAAAAAACGTGAGTTATAGATGCCACTAAATAAAATCTGCTCATCAATAAGGCACAGAGGATACGCTTTCTGATGAGCTGAGTTTCATCCGAAGCGTGTTCGAATGTGATGGATACCCAGAAACAAATGGAACCGCAAGTACCAAGGAATAAATCTGTTTCCGCAGTAAGGTGCTCGATATACTTATCCTCAGTGTTTGAGGGTGACTCGATAGCGGAGCGAATCACCCGAAGGCTTACCCTTCGGCTGACTTACGCGTAAGCGGCACCGCAACACCATTTGTGCGCCAGCAGCTAATATACACCGGTCGCACATTTCCTTTTGTGCAGTACAGTTTCTCTTGCTCGTGACGAACAAGGTGTGTCGAAAAAGGACAAGGCGACTGTTCGTAAAAGCTCGAAATCACTGTCAAGCTTGGTTATACAGTGATGTGATGAAGAATGTGACGAATGCAATATTGTCACATTTAGTGGATGCTTACCACAAAACAAACTCAAAAGATTCATTCCAACCGATCTACTGTGTGCCAGGACGCTATACACGAGCTGTGAAATGCCGCCTGCTGTCGACAACAAAGGCAATCGCAATTAGACCCCATAACCCGGACTTGTGTGCACAGACTCTCTGTCTACCCTGACAACAGACTAACACAAGTAATCATACCCATCACGCCATTTCCCCCGACTCCACACATGACTGGCTAATCAACTAGCCTTAATGATGAGAAATTTTGATTTATTGACGCCTACAGCTCACATGTTCATTTCTGAGCGACATACTTGTGGTTGTATTAGCCTGACGATGATCCACAGAAAACAAGCTAGTTCGATAGTTTCTACATCTAATACTAAGTCGGCCGAACCATTGTCATCATCATCAGTATACACGTTAGCTGGAGGTGGAAAACACCTTAGCTATTGTGCCGCAATACAAAAGACAAGAAGAAAAAACAAAGGCACGCCGGCTGAGTCTCCAGTAGGGGATGGGCATCTTTCCGGAGAGTTAACAGGCGGATATCGTGCCGTAAGAAGAGTTATATTATGCCTAATGATTGAGATCGGGATTGAAGGGGAGGCTAAGCTGGAGGGCGATGGACAAAGGAACTCACAACACAAACGCCATTGGGGCCGGCTCCACGCCATATCAGCAAGTGTGTCCAACCAAATGTGTTCATCGTCCTTAGGACCCCAGCCAGACAGTCGGGATGCACCAACCGACGCCAGTTTCGAAGTGAGGGTTTTCATTACTTTCGATCAAGTCATCGCTGGCCTCTCCTATTTCTTTTCCAACCGCACCCCCGGCGCGCAAACAATGCACCTCGCAGGAGTCCGTGTGCTAACATGCGCAACACGTGGCCCAGCCATCGGAGCCTGGTGCGTGATATAATGGTGCTGAGCGGTTCACTCGCTCTTCCTGCACCAAATACGCGATGCCGAACACGCTCATTACTCACGCAGTGCTCCCACCACACATGAGCTAAGCTGCAGAGGCAGGGGTGATCGAACGTGGCTAGCCTCTTTATGTCTGTCGACCTGATGGGCCAGGTTTCACAATCATATAGGAGAGTTGAACGGACGGCTGCGTTGTAAACTCTGCCCTTCAGGGCGAGAGTGATGTCGCGTCTGCGCCACAGGTGGCGGCGATTGGCAAGAGCACCTCAAGCTTCTGCTATACGGTTCGTAATCTCATCTATGATCCCACGGGCGCTAATATAGCTGCCCAGGTACTTGAATTCCTGAAAGATTTCACCACCAAGGGTCAGCGCAGGGGTGGGTCCCTGCCAATCTTGGGGAAGAACTTTGCATTTCGATGGAGCAAAGCATAGTCCAAAACGATTGAAAGCCAGTGATAATCGGTCCAGTGCAGCCTGGCACGTTTGGGCGCTGTCACATATGCGGGCGATGTCGTCCGTATACTCCAGGTCAAGAAGTCGCTCACCAGGAAGTAGCTCCACACCTTCTAGGTCGTGTCAAGCTGGCGCTGTTTCGATGACTCTGTCAATAGTGAAGTTAAAGAGGTAAGGTAACAGTGGGCAACCTTGGATGGCGGCGACAGTTTGTCATAAACCCTCACTCTCTTAGAAGTATGTACGTACAGTACTGTGATAATGTTTACGTATTTATCGGGCACACCTTTTCTCAGCAGACAGTCCCAAATGGCACATCGATCCAACGAATGGAAGGCACCTTTGATGTCGAGGAACACAACGGTGGGTCGCCAATAAACTTGGCGGTGCTCTAACAATTGATGTAAGGCGCAGATGTGGTCGATGCAGCCTTGATTTCGACGAAACCCGGCTGGCTCTGCGCGGATCTGGCTTTCGCGAGCACCAGTCAGTCTATGGAGAACGACAGAGGCAATTTAGAGCCAATTGAAATCAGACTAATCCCTCTATGATTGCCGCATTCCGAACGGGAGCCTTCCTTGAAAATTGGGACTATGACGGAGCGGTTCCAGTCTGTCAGGACTGTCTCCTGCTCCCAAAGTTCCATTAGCAACTCGTGTAAATCATGTACAAGAGCACGTCACCCGAATTTGTAGAGAGCTGTGAGAATTCTATCCGCCCCTGCGGTCTTATGCAATTTCAACAGTCTGATCTCACGTTTGACTTCTGGGTGTGAGGACGGATCTAAGAAGACGGCCCATGCAGAAGGGCACTCAATGTCCGAAAGAGGAAGCGATAACAGATTGGTTAAACTTTCTTGCAAAGTGTTCGGCCCAAGGGTCCAAGCGTTTTGACAAGCTGTGGATCGACTGTCCACTCTCGCCCCGTATTGTCTCGCTAACACCAGGTCTCCTGGAGCCTGTTTTCCGTATCAGACAGAATAACTTACCATGATTACTAACGGCAGCGGATGTTTCCATCTCCGATGCACGATGAGACCACCGGGTTTCGCTATCTCACCTTATGCTAGCACGCAGTTTTGCCCTGAGATTTTTACGAGTCTTAAAGTATTCACTTCCAGCCGGAATACGTCGGCGAGCATGCATAAGTTCCAGAGGCTTTGTAGAGACCCAATGTCTAGGCTGGCAATTTGACTTGCCACATGAAGACACGTCTGATAATAGTAATGTTTGATGAATATGCGACCAGTGATTTTCGACGGTGTTCAGTGGACGAGTACTCAGCCCACATGCCAGCGTAGTTTGATATGCATTCAGAACACTTGACTTCGCCAGCTGGATGGTGTCAATGCGCTCAGAGTGAGGTTGCGGACGTCCGCCGAAACGCACCCGTAGATCAGCACACACAAGAGCATGATCGGAATCTTCGCCGCTGCTCCAAATCGTGCGACAGTTTTCGACACAGCCTCTCCAGCGGTAACTAATTGCGATATGATCGATTTGCGTCCATGGCTGGTCCGAGACTGGTGAGCGCCGTCACTCTTCTGCAGGTGCTATGTCGAAAATTTGTGCTCGCGAGAAAGAGTCGAGCAGCTTCACACAGGTGTAGCGACCGCTCACCGTTCTCACTACCGCAGCCTACACCATGTTGGACACCCAGATAAGGCTCATCAGAGGACAATAATCCGAGTTGCGCGTTTAAATCACCAGCAAGATTCTTTTAACAAAGAAGATCATTAAGTTGGTGATAGAAAGCATCTTTCACTGAATCAGTACTGCAGTTTGTGGGGGCGTCAGCCGCAATGACAAACAGGCACCGTTTGTCCCCGCGCGACTTCGAAGCCTGGAACGATCCAGCCAACCTAACGGCGCACATCCGGCTGTTGACAGGGATCCAGTCGATCAGGGCAGCTTCAGCCCAGGGAACTCAAAACAATGCCGACGCCAGCTTGGATGGAATTTGAAGCTGCGTCATTGCCAGACAGGCGTAATGAGAATGTACCG